TTTATCGAACATAGAAATGTTGACTTTAAACGGGACTGATGAAATTCTTGTATCATCAACTTCTCAACTCATAGCTTGCCTCGTTTTAAAAATTTAAACGAAGAGCATGGTCTTGCGCATCGAATCAACTGGGAGACATGAACTCCATATGCAGGTGATAATGGTATATTGCTATATAAATAAGGAAATTGATGATAGAAAAGTTAAATTCATCACATTTATCATAAAGTTGTTTTTGCTGTAAGGTTGCCATTTTTAGTAAAATATCCAAATATGAAATAGATGAGTCAGACCTTGTGGAGCTTTTATTTCGAGTCAGGAGGGATATATCGAATTAAAGTAAAAATGAAAATGAATATTGTTAATTGATAAAACGTCGTCGATACATCTAAATGTCGAATTGAAGGCCACAGCAAGAGATTATTTTTTCATCTATAAGTCAAATCAGACAAGTCTGTTGATGCTTATTGAACTGTCATTATTTTTTATAGTATTTAAATTTGAAATTCAATAATCCAAGTTTTGTATTTCATACTTCCCACAATACTAGTCTAACTGGTAGTCGTAGTTGGAGAAAAAAAAATCTATATTTTGAATTCGCTATATATACGTTGATTAATTTGTTATACAGATATAAAGAATTACAGATATAGCAAAGTAAATTTGCAGGTCTCTAGGATTTCTCTATAACTAAGATTTACTGAATTATTATGAGATTATTTTTTACTTGAAAAGCACGTTTATATCGAGACAGATCTAGACTGGACGCCCCTCATGTTGACCAAAATAAAGTAGCTGAAGCTTTTTTACAAGAAAACTTACGAAGGGAAGCTAAAATCACTGGAACTTGTAGCTCATAGAAAACAGTTATACAGATGAAAATTTGGAAAATAAGAATATTGCAAATTTGACAGAAAACATTGATCAGAGATTTAAAGAGGACGCTGCCATTACTCACTCTACTCTCTGCCTTCGATCCTTTTTTATTTCCAGATGCATCAGAAAATTAGCTGCTTGGGAATTTGTATTAGTTAAAAGATTTTACTCAGAAGACCCATAATCAGGTGATATTTTCTCAGAGTTAGATTACATTCATTTATAAGCTTCTGAGGAAAAATGATGAAGTTGAAAATCAATCTACTACTGAATCATAGTTCCAAAGAGTATGTTTTTAGAAAATCTTTCTTCTCAAAAAAGCCCTTTTAAAAAATTGCCATAAATGGCAGTAGTTATACTGTCACTTCCTGTTAGTAATGTTTTACCTGAAAGAGAAGAGAAGAATCAGTCATAAAACATTAAAACCAGATTTAGAAACAGACTGAAGAATTTCATGCTATAGTCGTTGATGCGAATAACAATCAATCTACCAGATTTGTCTGAAGGCAGTTCTCTCATAGATGTACACGAACCAATATCAGAATTTGTGGGACAGGTGCGTAGAAGTAGGAGTTAATGTCACAACAGTCAGCATCCAAGTTGCTATGGACGTCTATGGTTGGCCGTTCTACTTACAATTATTTATTTTTACTCCACTAAAATTATTTTTACTGCAGTAAAAATAAAACACTGGCCATTGCTACTCACAATTAAATATTTTTACGCCAGTAAAAATTATTTTTAATCCAGAACAAAAATGAATCAATTGAAAGTGTACTATATATTACAACTAAAGAGATTGCTTTAAAAACTCCAGTTTCCGTCAATTTCATCAGATGAAGTAGCAATCTGTTAGGAATCAGGGGTCCGTTTTACAAAAGAACTTACGACTAAGACCAAAAACTTCAGTTGATTGTAAAATTTTGTAAAATTAATGATTCTGTTTCAAATTGCTTTCTACATACTTTTTATATATATTAAAAACATTTTCTATTTATCTTAGGTTATTAGCAGAATTTCATTTTGGTCTTAGTCGTAAGTTCTTTTGTAAAAAACGGGCCCTTGATCTGGAGAAGTGCAACTATATGTAGAGTTAATAGTGGACTTTCATTAACTTTGTAGGTTTTATTTTCTTTAAAATGCCACATGACGGTGAGAACTGAATAAAAATTATCCTCCATGTGGTCCTAGAATAAACCATTTTGTACGGTATTTTCAAAAACAAAATTTTAAGGTGAGCATGTCCAAGTTTCAACCCCTTTCTCTTGCCACATAGTAACGCAAATGGGGTTCAGTTTAATCTGCATCATATACATGTACTAAATAAATTGCTTATGTTTTTCTTATTAAACACCCTGTAAAAATACTTTTTCAAAAAGAGGTCAATGGGCCTTGACGGTCACCTGAGTATCATGAGTTTCACAATGATTTTAGGAACACATGGAGCTTATCTGGATTGACTTGAAAAAAAATTCAGTCTTTGATCATTGTCATATTCGTGCATTTTTTAAATTAAAAGTTCAGGAGTAAACAAAGTAAGGTACTTTATAATAAATTTTAATATATGATCAATTTTGTGTCACCCCGGTGCCTGATGCCTGATGTCTGGTTTCAAGACACATGAATGTTACAATGTGTGTAGAGGGCTAACTGTTCATTATAATCATGCAAACAGTTTGCCGCTAGATGTATAAGATAAATGCAATTTCACTATATTATTTAGTAAATAATATTTACTAAGTGCCACACTTGAGCTTGAATTCTGAACCCCTGGGGCACAGGCACTTGTTTCGGTAATAAATTTTTAACCCATAGTATAATAATAACACAAGGTATCTACTCCAAATTACACGGAGTACCCCCTCCCCCAGAATCGCACTCATTTACACTTTCAGAGGAAATACACTGACAAACTGTTTATACCTATGTTTTCTACGATGATTTATCTACACAACCATATTTGGCATGTTTGTCTTTATTTTCTTTAGTCTCCGTAAACAGCGTCAAAACTCTGCTCGCCGTGTGGAAAAGTCCAATTCAACCATGAAATGGTATGTGCTAATCCCGCACAGAGATTTTGATTGGCTAAAAATCCGTTTCTAAAATTACATCAGATAAACATCGTAATGTTTTCAGGGAAAATCAGACGTAAACAAGTTCTATTTACTCATGCAATATTTAAACACTGGAATTGAATTTTTAAACCCACTCATTTTTTAATTTTGTTTTGTCAGAAGCGACGTGTGTGACGCTCAAGGATTGTTATAAATGTTTAATGCCTGCTGTGTTTTAATACATTTTTAACAATCTTCTTTCATCAGTGATTCACTGTAAGATAAGGTTACTTAATATCGACAAACTTATTTAATTCAAAATATTTAAATGTTGAAGTGGTTCGCTTCGTGAATTTTTAAAATCTGTTACGTAAACACGACTTAGTGATATCAATAGAAAACATGTGTGCAGTCTCAGGATGTCAGATTCCAAAATTGAGCATTTCAAAGAATTTGCTCCTTATCACTTGTTTTGTCTTGATGCCATTAAGTAAGATTGGTTCTTCATCTTATTCTTGTAGAGGGCTTATTGAAATCATGCTAACAGTTAGACTACTAGATATTTAAGAGTAAAGAAGATTTTTGAAGATTGAATTAATTTTAATATTTTAGGTCACACCCCTCGGGCTCCAGGGAGACAGAGAGCATGGAATTCACAGTTTTTGTTTTTCCTTTTCCTTGAGTGATTCAAGTGACCCCAAAAAACTCCTAACTAACATTTGTACTGATAGTTAAGCAAAAAAAAATCTTGATAAGACGTAAATCATATTTTTGGCCAATGTATTAGATTAAATAACGCTAACACATCATTTGACCATTTTTGATAAGTCTGATAATTCACGATATAACTATCATAGACATCATGTTTAAATGTTTATAGTCATCGATTGTAATTGATTAACTGAGCTAAAGTAATAGATAGTAAAATACCAAACCAAACCTTAAATGAATTCGATCACTGGTAATTGAGTCCATGTCTGATTGCTCTGTAAATGTCAAGATAGCATTTATACAAATATTAAGAGAAAAATTGTTTGGTATCTTTGGAATAATCAAAGCAAAATTGTTGCTACAGATAACATTATTTTACATTTAACAAAAATGCACCTGTTTAATTGATCTTTGTCCAAATGATAAAGTCTTCTTATGTAATTGACGTAGTCATTGTAAAATGTTTAATTAAATGAGTAATTAACCGAGTAGATCCCAAAAATATTCATCTAGTTAATATGTTCTTATTTCTTATTAGCTCCAGTTGTACATTCCCTCACTTATTTCAATTCTACGTGGAAATTCAGAATGCAAAAACCATTCACTCTGTAAGCAAAATGAAGTACAATCGAAATACTTGACATAGTAACAAATACCGCAGCGGCAAGTACTAGTACTTTTGTTGTATATGTAATACAATTCTAAATCATGCATTACATGGAGGGAAGTTTTCAAAAGCTAGAAAGGATAGCAAATGGAGTGAATCTTCCCAGTGCCAATTTTGATGATAAATTCAATTCTTATACTTTGAAACATAATGCATTTCTACCTCTGGGTATTATATAATTATACAAAATGGCACATTTCCATTCATCATTCACTAAAATGCAGAGTTCTTTGTATTTTGCGGGCGACGTGTGTGACGCTCAAGGATTGTTATAAATGTTTAATGCCTGCTGTGTTTTAATACATTTTTAACAATCTTCTTTCATCAGTGATTCACTGTAAGATAAGGTTACTTAATATCGACAAACTTATTTAATTCAAAATATTTAAATGTTGAAGTGGTTCGCTTCGTGAATTTTTAAAATCTGTTACGTAAACACGACTTAGTGATATCAATAGAAAACATGTGTGCAGTCTCAGGATGTCAGATTCCAAAATTGAGCATTTCAAAGAATTTGCTCCTTATCACTTGTTTTGTCTTGATGCCATTAAGTAAGATTGGTTCTTCATCTTATTCTAGTACGTAAGAATAGTCTCCACAATAGATCAACAAAAGACATTTCACGACACCGGATGATCAGGCTGTTTACCTCCACTCGAAAAACATAAACACTACAGTAATGAACAAAAATATTATTGTGTTCACACGAGAAATTAAATTGTCCGAAATACTATATCACGCCTTTGTTATTAGGATAACGCTTGCTAACGTGCTAACGGAGCATATGATTATTTGTATGTACCTGGAAATGGAATTAATTCCCTTTTTATTATAGAAAGCTTGTACCGAAGTTCATGAGAATGTACTCTTATAATTGAGTATGAATAATATCGTCTCATTTAAGGACTTTTGGATTAGAGTATAACGACACAGACAATGTTGCCGTCCTGTCTTCAAAGTAATGAATTAACATACAATATCACAACGGCTCTGTTTTGCCATCGACTTCTGGAAATGTTCTTTGGTGATAAATCGGTAGTTCTTTGGGACCCAGTCTTTAAAGCAAACGACTACAGATTTGTCGCAAATAACCTCAATGGAGATTTTCCGGAAGGATATTCCATTGTGCCCGACATTTACAACGCAACAAACGTAGCTATGGTGTGTACTGGATTGAGTGAAAACGAATGTCAGAGATGGATTTCGTGTTCACGTGCAGCCAGAGATTGTTGCAAAAGACAAAAAGCAGCTGAATTGTCAGAAACAGATCAAGAATTTTATTGCAAAATTACATGGGACGGTGTATCTTGTCTCGATGCAACTCCAAATGGAACTGTTCTCGACCTACAGTGTCCATCTTATTATATTCCTACGGATGATTCAAGTGAGTTTATTTCTAATATCTATTTTTGTTGGTTGCATATTGATACCGTTATAAATATACATCCTGTTTTTATGAGAAAAACAGATGTTCAATGGAGGCTAAGTTACATTTATTTGTCGATCCTATGACTGATTCGCTATTTTATCGTTTTAATTATTCAATATTTTTCATCAACTTATTTCTCTTGTTTTCCCTGAATTATGAACGGGAATCATCAATTTGTTAATGGGGTTGATAACAAGAGTCGAGCATTTCGTTTATTCATTAAGTTTCTGGCATACACTTTAAAACCCAACCATACTTTAATGGCCTTGTCCCATATTTAGCCTCAGATTATGAAAGTAAACTAAACGAAGTTGTACACCAGTGTTGCACCTCAGGCCATTTTAGAGTGTGTCAATTCAGAAAAAATATGTCGTTTTTTTCTGCTGGAGATGTTCATATCTAAAATAGTGATAAAATTAGAAGGGCATGCAAGTCGCTCGGGTGATCTAAAGCTATTGTCATTGGGCTTTATCCCTTGTTGCCCATTTACAGTTGAATATTTTTTACCTCTTACTGAATACACCTACAATCGTCTTTAATTTTATATAAAGTATGTAAGGGATCATAGGAAGACAAACTGTGATTTTGAAACTTTGAAAATCTTCCTCTTTACTCATGGACATTAAGCAAGCAATCTCCATGATTATAATACTAGTAAACACTTGGCCCTCTATCAAAATTTTGAAAATCATGGCCCCTGTGCATATGGTTCAGGCTCTTACAACCTTGATTATTTTCCCTGTACTCATCGACGTCTAGCAACTGTGTTGCATTAATTGTGTTGGGGAACTGGTTGCATTATTATCATCAATATGAATCCCCTATTAAAACTGTTAAATTCATGGTATTTGGTCCAGTGTGTAGCCCAAGGTTGGGGTTTAAAATTATTCCTTCATTGAAAATACATCGCATCTTTGAAAATCCTCTTTTCTACTCATGGAAATTTAGGAAAAAGTTGTTTCCATGATTACAATAAACACTAAACATTCTATAAAATTGTGAAATTCATGACACATAGTTCTAGCTCTAGGATGAGGCTTAGCTGGACATATATTGAAAATACATTACATATTTGAAAACCTCTCTTCTTTACTCCTGGACATCTTTTAGACAAACTGTTTGCATGATGATAATTTACTTTTAGCCTTCTATCAAAATTCAACGCCCTTGGCCCCAGGAAGGGACTAAGTTGTTCTTTTATTGAAAATCATAACATTTTTGATAATCTTCTTCATTTACTCATGGACATCCAGTGGGCAAATTATTTACATGATTATAATGTGCAGCGAACAATATAAAAAACAATATACAAATTTATAAAATTCATGCCTTCCGAGTTCAGGAGTTAGTCAAATATATACCGGTATATTGAAATTTATTATACAGAGTACCTTTAGGATCTTCTTTACTCCAAATCTTCCTCACCATACAGTTAAGTCACATAAGTCCCATATGGAGAAATGATGTACAGTTTTTTTCATGAGGTTGCTCCCACGTGATTTACTTCTCATTAATAGTCATAAGATCCTGCATAAACTCGAAATATTCCATTTCTTTAAATTTTTATATTAAAGCCTGCAAGCACAGTTTTGGTAATAAGTAGGTCACACTGATGCAAGAAATTGCCTCTTTCAAATTAAAAAGGCGGTCGTAACTCTTCATGAAATGATTAATCATCTGTATTTTATAAAAATAGGCATTCGTCTGCACCTATTGATCGGCGGAAGAACTCTGTCAACTTGCAATAAACACTTACATTTAATCACCAAAAATGATAAAGACACCAATTTTGTGCTCTTTCCTTCATTAAAACATTATACTCTCGCTTCGGAATTTCAAATCAAAACGGCGGTCGCAACTTTCACTTTGGCATCAACAATATTGTCATTTCCGGTAGAAGATTAAAAAAATCTGAACATCGGCGGAAGAACTTTATCCGAAATAGTTAATATATAAAAATCTGCGGGTTTTTGTTCGTTCTCTATATAAACCTTTATGAAATCTGTCGCTATTATAGCTCCAATATGGCCGATATGTAAATGAGAAGAATGAACACCATTTCTCCTTATGCAGAGTTGCAGTGGGTGGGGTCAAAGTGGACATAGCTTGAGAAATCATGATATTCAGATGACCGTCAAAACCCATTGGTCTCTTGTGAAAAATATGTGATTTTTTCTCATTTATTTTTCTGTTCATTTGTTTGGTAACATACTCTGATACAAAACCTGGGAGAAAAATATCTTGCAGGGTACTTCCACCAGATCTTTCTTGAAAAACTAATAAGTGTTTCTCCCAAATTCAATAAAATATAACAGATCTTGTAAAAACAGAAAAAGGATAACATTGTACACCGACAAAACTTTTAATTCTCAAACATATTAGCACCTCATATCTAAATTATGTGGATAATATATGGCAGAAGATCGGGTTTTTGTGCAATTATCTGCAAGACTTGTTTAAGTTTTCATGTTTCGAATTTATGAATATATTAATGACCTTGTCAGCAACTACAATTTATCATTGAGTCAAATGCTGACTGACGTTTTTCATACTAATTGTTAGACCATTATTTACACACTGAATTCTCGACGGATTTTTCCGTTATTTCCCGATCATGACAAGGAGTACACGGCAGGTGTGACCGGTCGGCAGGGGATGCTCACTCCTCCATGGCACCTCATCCCACCTCTGATGTTTTGGAGGGCCGTGTTTGCTCTGCTCCTATTTTGTATAGTTTAATGGACTTTTGAGCTTGAATACTGTTCGTTCATATATTTCATTTAGCATCAAAACTTGAAATAAATCTTAGAATACAGAGAAGAGAAGGCTAAAAGGATCATGTTTTCAACTTATTGTATTAGTAGATTAATCTATCTCCGGTGGGGATTTTTTTCTCAGAAACCTATTCAACTGATACCTATACTCCGGGATCTTGTGGTATATTAAAATTTCTATTTTAAAAATCATACTGTTCGTTTAACCTCTTTTTGAACACTACGTTAACCAAAAACAAATCATTGAAAAAATAGAAAAAAAGAGAAGGTAATCACCGTTTCAAATTATATATTATAAACAATACATTTTTTATTATTTCCAAATTGAATGTAAAGTTGATTGATTTATTGAAAATTATCATAGTATCAGGCAATGGAATTGAATCGCAATGTGCAGTTAGCGCAAGTACTAAGAATTGTGCGACCCCCTCACTAATGAGCTGGGGAAAAATTATGCCGTGAAAGCTTTTACCTTAATTTGCAAGAATTTATTTGTTCTATGCTTCTTTACATTCAAAAGGGCCAATAAAAAACCATTTGGTTGATCGGTAACACGATCATATTATACACCACATGTTCTCTATCAGACAACATAACAGCTGTAAAAATGCTCGCTATTTTTACAAATCAGTGTAATATTTATGTACAGTAAAGCAATATTCCTGATAGAATAACATATATATCAAACAAAATTTATCGACTGCATCTTTATTTTCGTAAAAGCTTGATAGCAACGATTTAATTTCTTTAAAGATATGTTGAAAAGGTTTACCAAGATTCAAAGTAAAATCTTTGAATACTTTACATTTTTCCTTGAAAGCTGATAGTCTTTAGAATGATTACCTCATTTCGTACAATTTTCGTACTACAATACAGTACTTTGATACAAACTGTGCCTTCTCGGTACTAATGCATATTTGAAAAAAAAAAGACCCTTATATATTACAAAAATATTACATTGCCATTTTATGTAATCTTAAACTTCTCTCAAGTGTATTTTATCATGATCGACATCATCTCTTCAGAAGCATGATTTAGACCAATTTTGGCAATTTCTGCATAATTGCTATGACCTTTATTACTACGAGGGGTTATCAAAAAGTTCGTGGACTAGCGCCATAAAATTAAAACCGCTTTAAATACACCAATGAATTTTAATACATCTAGCTACCATCATCTTTTCTATCTATAGAATAAAACGTAAATCATATAATATATTTTTTTAATAAATTGTAAATGTTTTTGTAAGCAATGGTATGTCCAAGCGGTGCAACCTCAAATATGACGTTTTTTCTACCTGAGTGTAACTGAGAAAAACTCATTTGATATGAGCATTTGTCCTCCAAAAATCCGGTTAATTCAGGCATATGATACAACACAATTGTTCCGTAAAATTTTTCAATTTTTACCCCATTCTGTAAATTCTATGAAATTTTATCGTAAATTTTATATGGAGTATCCAAACAATTAAGGACTTGAAAATGGCGTCAAAAAGGGGGAGGGGTTTCTGTTTCCAACATTCTTTACAGTTTCGCACCTGGAAAAACTGGTATAGACCTAGAGAATGTTTAAATCGGCTACAGAAAAATAAGATACACCCAGAGTACTCGTTTTAAATACCCAAAAAGATTTAGAGAGTTGAAAGATGCACAGTTAAAGTCAATTTGTAGTCAGGGTGTCAAAAATCAGTCACGTCGAAAAGTGACGTTGATCATGTTTGGTAAAAGTTGAACTCCAACAAGCTAAGTATTCTGACATAATCAAGTGAGGATCTTTCTTTATATATAGATACATTTACAATATTATATGCAATGAAAGCAGCTGTTCATGACATTGTAAAGTCACATAAACAAGACGGACTAAAGTCCTTACTTAACTCCAGGTAATTACATCAAGATAAGTGTATAAGGTAGACGGAGTGGACATTGAGAAACAATGAGAAACAATGACGTTGTCGGACGTCATGAAACTAAACGGCGACTGCGCCGGATGATTACACAATGTCTTTTTTAATTTAGAATAATTTGGCAAATTATCAACTTATTAAGCTAAAATGTTCAACATTTCTTAAACTTTTGTTAATTTATGATTTTCATAAATTTTATAAGCACAGACTACATAGTATTAATTTTATCGCATCAGTCCACGAACTTTTTGATAACCCCTCGTATATGTAAATCATGTGACCTTGTCAGAATACATTGACTCAGGGTTCAGAAAACATCCTCCTGTCAGGAATAAAAATAATTTTTACGTTTCTAATTCAAAATTACGGTCTGAACTATTATAATTTTACATTTGAGACACTGTGACTTAGGACTTGTCCCTTATGCCTTGGTTTTGAATTATGACACTCTCCGACTATAATGAATCTTTCTGCTAATGTTTTCCATTTCAAAGTTATGCCTTGACACAAAATGAGTAGAATAGATGGACTTCTTTGTAATGAAATTGTTGGCAAGTAGACTTCGCTTTGAATATGTAAGAATGACAAGTAGAGCAAAATCTAACACACACACACACACACCCTCACACACACACACATTTTATCGGAAATATGTTGATTTCCAGTATTACTTTGCAAGCTTAAAAGAAATTTCATAAGAAATAGTAAGGAGTTTTCTTAAAATTGACAAACAATATATCCATAAATTGACAATTTTAAATACGTTGTTTGGGAATTGTTCATTTATTTTATTTAAATTCCATTTTCAAAAAACCAACCTGACAATCGAAAAAGTTAACATCTAAAACTTGAGACGTGACTTTCATAAATATGTTTTCCACTAATCAACACTATAGTGAAAAAGGTGAAGATAACGAACAGTGATCGATCTTAAAAATTTACAAATACAAATCTGTGAACAGGGCATAAAACACGGATACCCAGAAATTCAGAGGTGAGATCAGGTGCCTAGGAGGAGTAAGCATCCCAGCGACCTGTTACACCCACAGTGAGCCCTGTGTATTGATTAGGTAGACGGAATATTCCGTAGTCAAATTAAGTATAAAAACAAAGGCCTAACAATTGATACGAGACAAGTAAGCCAAAATACGACCCAATAATAGGTTATATTTGCTAACAAGGTCATTATAACGACCATAGAATTTACGAAATGCTGACTGTAAATGAGGTCGTTCAAATCTCTGTAATATCTGTCAGAAGTCTGCCTCGGTTTAAAAATTGTTCGTACTCAAAGCATGCTCTTGAATATCGAATAACTTGGGAGACGTTAACACAATATACAGGTGATAGCGGAATATTACTAAATAGATAAAGAAAGTTGACGATGGAAAAGCTGAAGTCATCTCCTTTGCCATACAATTTAGTTGTTAGTTGGCCCTTAATGTCTATAGTTAGTAAAACATCCAAATATGAAACAGGTGTTGCAGACTCTGTGGTATCTTTCATTTCGAGTTCCCTGCTATATATCGAATCGACATATGAATGGAAGTAACTAGTGTTAATTGAAAAAAAAAAAACGTCGTTGAAGCTTAATATTTCATTCGCTGAATATTTTCATCTATGTTCCTAATGAAAACCATATCGCTGTCTATCCGGAGAAATAAATACAATTTAATTCTTAACTAGCTAGATCAGTTTTTTTTTAAAGAATATGTATTTCATAAGAATTTTGTTTTATTTATTTAAGTATTTTCAACAATGTATTAACAATTAAATGCCTTTTTCGTTTTGTTGTACGGTGTATAACGGTCGAAATCCTTGCAGAAAAAAAATTAACTTTACCCGCTAATGCATTTTTAATGCAATGTCGTACCCGATATCTTCCAAAATAACATAGAAGCATTATATTGTTTAAAAAATTGTTGATCTCGGAACTTGACATCCAGTAGTCAATGTGTAAAGTTAATTAGAAATACGTTTAACAAGAAATGTACATGTACTTTGAAAGCGTTCACGAATCTATTTCTCAAGGTAAATTCAGGAGTTAAGTGAGGAATGGCTAATCCTAAGTCTAAATTCGCCAAGAAGAATAATTATAAATCTTTCATGATTTGCTTCTGTTTTACACAAAAATCAAGATATACCTTATCTGTGAATTTAATCTTCCTTATCATTCAGAGATCTTACCTCATTTCGAAGAGACCTGGAAAGAAAAGCACATATAGTAGACACTTGTTGGCATGATGTAAGGAATCACTGTCTAGTTAGTAGAGTATGCCAGGGCATCAACGATAGTTGGAAACGTGGGATAATTTGCATAACGGGCGAAGCCCGTTATGCATAAATTATCCCACGTTTCCAACTATCGTTGATGTCCCTGGCATACTCTACTAACTTGACAGTGATTCCTTATATTTCCATTTCATTGTGAAATAAAATTGTAAATTTAGATTTTAAAATTGTAGACTAATAGATTTAAATTATACAAGGCCTCACATGTCAATTTCAATAGTCCCCGCTCACTGACGTCAAACACAAAGACAGCCGCACGAGAATTACATGCATATTAGGCCTCTTTAGAGTCAGACACAAAGATATCCGCACGAGAATTACATGCATATTAGGCCTTCTTAGCTCCTGACCTTTCGCTTGGCGAAATTTGCATTCCGTTAGAATGATCAAGAAATCAACTCTCCTAACTTTCAAAGAGTTATCACAGAGAGAACAAATAGAAATGGAAATATTACTTTTAGAACTCTAATATTAATATTTATTCTTCAACACGTTTTATTCAGAAATCATTCATATGTGAATTTGAAATATATGTTATATTTGAAAAGCCCAAGCATTTTTGAAAAAAAAAATTATATTCTTTTCCTGTTGAATTGGCTTTTGTTCAGGGAATTGTAAGATACATGCCTAACTAATAATTTAAAATGGAAAGGAAATATGCTTACTCAGATAACTTCAAATTATCTTATTTTAGAAACATTCTCAACTGTGTGTTTGCCTAGCGGGAAATGGAAAGAGCGTGTTATTGAAAATGGAACACTTCTTGTATACAAAACTTGCAAAGTACCTAAAAAGGTAAGCATTTAAAAAATAAGTGCACGTCAATTCAGTTTGCAACATTAATGACAAATGTTTTTGCAATCGTAAAATATGATTATATTTTAACGTTAACATCTACTTATTGTAAATGTTATATTTATTTTTGGAAAAAATGTTTCTTATGGTAAGTGTTTATTTAAAGATTAATTTACTATATAAGATACTCGGAGCAGAATTCTTAGAAGAGCACATAATGGTTACCCTGGTTACAAACCTCATTAGCTTAGCAATCACATTGCCTGCCATAGCAATTCTAACTCTTTTCAGGTAAGAATATATATGAATATGCTAAATTACATTTCACAATGTTAGTTGCTTAGCTAACTCGTACTTATAAAACCTTTGAAGACAGAGAGTCACAAAAAGTCTCACTACTATTTTCAATTTTTTCTTTAAAAGAGATGCATACCGTATATACTATAAGTCGGTTTTTTGGGGAGTAGAATTTTGGACTAAAACTCCTTGTCCGAGGCAAGTTATAAAAAGATTGGTATTTTAGATGGTCAATCCCTTTAAGGAGGCTGGGGGGTCAACAAATTAACCATCAGATATAACTTAATTTTTTAGATATGATATCTTAAGCTGTCAACTATCATTTGGCAAACAAAAATTTCAAACATTTTAGTTTTAAAATTTGATCATTTTTGTATATCTTTATATGGGACTCTTCTTCTAAAGGAGACCAATATAGTCTGAAAATGGCCACAACCACCCAGCCCTCCTAATATAAGCTTCAAAAACACAACCGACTTATAATACGGACCGACTTATAGGCGATTATATACGGTAATAAATATCATAGACACTCTTTTCAATATTTCATTTGTCGCACTTCGCCTAAACAGGTGGCATGAGTGAAAACTTCTGGAATGAATGCGACTTACAATCAATCAATCTTTGTTTTCATAGGTGCCCAGGCAACACAGAGTCAAGAAGAAGGACTCGAAAAATGTACAGAATTCATCAGCATTTTCTGCTATCTTTGATACTTGTTAGCATTGTAACATTGATTTGGGACGAAGTTATTGCAAAAGAACACATTGTCAAATTGCACAAAGGAGCAAGTCAAATAGACTTAAATTCGGTAAATTCTCTACATCCGATACCATTAATAAGATGATTAATCATTAAATTACATGAAACGAAGGTTTTTTTTACACAACTCGTCTGGATGTAGTGTTACAAGGATATGGAAAAAGCGTAGGAAGGTTAAATAGCTTTATTAGATTAGCTCTCATATTTTTGTTATCATGTTGCTTGTCAATGCAAATTAGATACAAGTTAAATCTGCTTGAAATGGCAAACGTATTACATATTTTTAACTCCTTAACTTAAAGGAAATTTGAGATAGAGACTACCGACTCCTACAGCGTAAAGTCCACCATATAAAATTTGTTAACTGGGCTTACTTTCTTTTCGTAATGTTTTAACGCTGCACACATCTGTTTTCTTTGACAATTACAGAACACTACTCATCATCTTTAAGACATTCAAATAGAAATTGTTAAAGATGGAAGAAGGCTTCATATTGTTCTTATCTTCCATTGTTTCATTCCTAAGTCACGTATCACAAGTTTAAACAGACTTATTTTCATTACCTCCATAACAAAATAATGATGTTTTAAACCCAAGTGTTCTGTTACTGAGGCTTGTTTTATCTAGGTTTCTGTCCCCAGTATAGACAAGAAAATTCATGAAATATTAAAACTAAAATCCCTTCAGCATAGAAGATTTGTTAAAATCGGAGATAAATGTTTAAAAGAGAGAAATTAAAAACTATTCATTTGATTTCAGTGAAATCAACTCATCGAATGAATATTCGAATGTTCGAATATTCGTTGCCATCCCTAGATTTCACCCATGTTAATGCTTTGAAAAATATATTAAAGTTAAATGGGAAAAAATATAGAAAAGTGTTTTCTATTTGGGAAATTAAATCACAATGTTAGTGGATTCAGTTTATCGAAGGAAGTTTTTCAAATTTCTAGCATCAGGTTGACGAAGTCATAACCTTGGCGAAGATAGATAACTCTATTATGGAACCCTAGAGTTTTTTCCCCCCATTTTTCACCAAATTATGTGGATTCACCAAACATTAAGTTGTTTAACTAAACAGATATCACTTCTTCTGTGAGATAGGTACTTATTTAAGCAAATATATTTTAATTTTAGATGGAAAAAAATTGTTTGTGTTATTTATCCTCAAGATGTCTGTATGTCCCGATACTATAATTCGGAGGTTCGAAGAGATTCCTGCATAACCTCGACTGTATTCATATATTTTATAAGTATTACACGATAGTTGAATTCTTTAAAAGATTTTAAAGAGCACATTATTTTTACGAAAGACATACCTCTAAGCACGGTGCTTTGATTTTGTTTTTATTTTTTTATCGTACTTTACCTATATATCTTCAGATGCTTATATTCTCTACAAGAGGGAAAAGTTCAAAGAATTCGACTTTGATAATACATGCAATTGTCTTAAGTACTTGAAGTTATATGATTCTATATACATGTATGATAAGCACATTAATATTTTCTTACTTCTAAGGCCTTTTGCAAGATTCTACATATCACACAGAGGTATCTTAGATCAGCCACCTATTTCTGGATGTTTGTAGAAGGACTCAATGTTCTCATTCCATTGCTTCCGAGTTTCCAAAAAGAAATAAGGTTGATGTGGATATATTTCATCGGGTGGGGTACGTTATACTTAATCATATTACGTGCATACATATGATTGATTTCACATTATAATTGTCTCGAAATAAAAATGAGCTGAAAGTCACATCCTTCTGTTGATATTTGAATTGATAAGTCCTCCATGATTCAATGAAATGCCTTTAATCCATTTCTTTTTTTTTAAACTCTAGGAGTTCCATTAATCCCTATTGCTATTTACGCATCGTTGAGGACGGCTATCAGTCAGTATGATTATAAGTATGTGAATGTTTCTTCATCATAATTTTAAAAAAATATATACATGATATACAACTGAATATGAATCCCTCATCCTATCTCTTTTAAATGAATACATATTTTTTAAACAACAATTTAGACACAAGATTCTAGTGTTTTATCCAATAACCTGTTGCAAAGGATATATTACACAAAAAAAAAAAAAAAAAAAAAAAGTGAACAAAAAAAAAATAAAAAATTTCATTTAGGGTGATAATATTAATCAGTATAATTATATTATATTCTTTTTTAGTGTATGTGTATTCAAATGGCAGAAAAACAGCAATATGTTTGCTTGAACTTTCAATTCTGCTGTTTCGTTTTTAAAGGTGCTGGATATATCCAGTTCTTTGGTTGGAATTTATAATTATAGGACCAAATGTCATATCTGTATTGGTGAGTGATTTTTCTCTTACCGATTATGTTTTCATCAATTTTGCAAGGTTAAAAATAAAACTTGTAAGTCTGTCCAAATTATAAATTAACAAAATTCTAACCTTTAAGCCGACTTGGGCGACAAGGCTCGGATGTGATACAATCAATGAATCTATCTATAAAGTAAAAAACAACAAAATTGATCGTACATTGTTATACATGTAATCAATCATGCTGATGATAATATATCCAGTCACCTAGAAAAGTACTGTAAATAACATCCAATTCCAATATATGAAATAGGTAAGATAACGAACAGTAATCGATCTAAAAAACACAAAACACAGCTACAAACAATACAAATCTGTAAACAGGGCTAAAACCACGGACCCCTGAAAATTCCAGAGGTGGAATCAGGTGCTTAAGAGGAGTAAGCATCCCCTGTCGAACCGTCAGTCGCACTCGCCGTGAGCCCTAGGTACTGATCAGGTAGACGGAGTATTCCGTAGTCATGTTTAATGTACAAACAAAGGCCTTACAATTGATACGAAATATGTCAGTCAAAATACAATCCAATGATATGTTTAAGTTACCAATAAAGTCTTTAAAACGACCATAGAATTTACAAAATGTTGACTTTAAACGAGATTGTTTAAATCCCTATAACATCAGTAGCATGCCTCGGTTTAAAAATTGATCATACTCAGAGCATGCTCTTAAGTATCGAAGAACATGGGAGATAAAAACACCATGTGCAGGTGATAGCGGAATATTACTACATAAATAACAAAAGTTGACGATGGAAAACTAAAGTCATCTCCTTTGTCATATAATTTAGTTGTTAGTAATCTCTTATCGTCTTTTGTCAGTAAAATCAAAATAAGAAACAGAGGCGGGAGACTCTGTGGTGTATTATATTTCGAATTCACTGGGGTATATTGCGTCGACATATGAATGGAAATAACTATTATTAATTGATAAAATATCTTTGATATATCTGAATGTCGAGTTGAAGACCACAACATGTATTTCATCTAAAAGTTGTTAAAAATAACTGCTTCATAGGAATATAAGAACAGGTCGGCTAACAAAGGAGCAAAACAAGTATCCATTGAAATTCCAACAGTTTGTTGGAAGACCTGTAGCCCTTTTCACAAAAAATCTTAAGTTTTTGCATAGGATTTTAACTTAAGAATCTCTTACGACAAATCTTAAGTGCTTTTCACGAACGCATTCGTAGCAGATTGAACTTAAGATTTTACTTACGACAGACTTCATCCCTAGCAACGACTTCAATATGCTTTATAATCCTTAAATAAGTGTGTGAAAATAAAAATAAAACTTAGTTTTCAACATTTGTCAGCAAAACAAACATTATTGAATACAAATATCGAATGCAATCGTTTGTGAAGCAAGGTAGTTTAAAATCTGACGTCACAATGGCAAGTCTGACGTAAAAGTAGGTCATACGAAAATCTTAAGTGAAACTTACATCGTAAATATTTTGAAGTGTATTTCATTTAATTTTTCGACAATGATTGTGAAAAAAAAATTTTAAATATTATTGGAAGTTGCTTTAAAAAGTTTAATGTAACGTGTATTTTGTTTTTTGCGGTTATATTTTGACAATAAAATCTATTATAAAATACTTAAGAGTGGGTTGGGGCTCTCGTAAAGTTACGACAGATTTTGCACTTAGGACTTTCTTAAGAAATTTTGTGAAAACGATTTTTATCATAAGTTTTCACTTAAGATAAAAATATGTTGTAAGATTTTTTGTGAAAAGGTCCACTGGTCTCCAAAGACTACATAAATTGTATTCATTGAGGAACTCCAGCATCCTTTTTAATATCAACTTCAGATTACTTGTGTGTAGAATCAGAGTGATTTTTAACAAAGTAATTTTGTTGATAACCAATCACAAGATATGAAAATTTCCGAGTTCTATTTTGTTATTTAGGAAACAGCTGTATATATATGATATCAAAAAGCCCAGTTTTTAATTTATCGTGAGGAATGGTTGTATAAAGTGTAGCAAAAGAATACGTTGTGATTTTATTAACGTTTGAAAAAAAATTGTAATTTTAAATTTCTAAAAGTTCTTTGGAGTTTCTGAGAATCCACATTTGATTTACACCACTTCTAGAATAAATGCTGTAGCACAGTACGTCTAAAGTAAATCCTTTATAGCAGTTGATATTTTTGTGAGGAATAAAGATGGGGGCTTTGTAGGCATTTGCTGGGCCCAGCAATGGATCTTTATATGTCAGGCAAACTAATTGAAACATTAAAGGCTTGGGTAGGGCGCTCTGAATCTGTTACAAATCAACAGTGAAATTGATAATTAATCACAAAAGTCATTGAGAACTCTGTTGTCAAGTCCAAAACCGCGTGTAACCTATGGCAGCCCTTTGGAAGACGTAAAATATTGAAATCAAAACCAATTATAAAAGTGTTCTGAAATCCATTGTTTATCAAATTACACTGAGTAGATTTAGATAAAACATTGCGTTTTGTCGATCATTAATTATGCACTTAATAGCTAATAGGATTAGATAACTGTAAACGCACTAAAATTAAAGCTTTCAATTTTATTTTTCTTTTATACTATTTTTATTTATTTATTTATTTATTTATTTATTTATTTATTTATTTATTTATTTTTGTAAAGTTCTTGGAAATATAAAACACCCGAATTTTTGGATAAAAACTAAAGTCAATCACAAACACAAACATGATATATTCCTTATACGTATATGGTATGTTTTATTTGCAGTGTAACATTATTTTCCTGGTAATAATAGTGGTGACAATTGTAATCAAAGAACGGAAAACGAATGAAACCCGTGCATCATTTTGTACTGTCATGCCGTAAGTTCATACTTGCTACGATTATATCGTTTTAAAAAATACATCCGAGTGTGCGTATCAAAGTTTAATGACATTATTCAAAGATTGACAATTTTTAAGTTAAATATTTTCATTAAGACGCAAAATATTTCATGATAGAGAATTCTCTTCTTGAAAGCTAACTAAACTGTAAAATGGGTTGTTATCATTTAACTTATTTATTTTACAATTTGATTATCACTCAAACAATATATTTTGAAGATAGAATATAATGAAGTGAAAAAATTATATACTACTAGCTCAATTAATTCCTTTCAATTTCAGAAAACCACTCCGTGCACTGTTCTTTCTCATTCCATTGTTCGGACTCCATTTCATTTTGGCTTGGGTGCTCCACGTGTTCGATGGAACATGGTGCTTCGTTGTCAACAGTGTAGTAGAAGGATTACAGGTATCAGTTCTGTACTTTGTCTTTCTAACATCTTAGCTAGAGATAACAAACAGAAATCCTCAATTTTAAGTCAATAGTTCGTAGAACACGGGTATCATTCTGTAGCAAAATCTTAAAATCACGTTGAACATATAATCTTTATGGCATTAATTGACAATGAAATGTTTAAGAGAGTTTTCTCGATATTTTAAGCTAATACGTGTAAAGCAATAAGTGGTGTGTCCTACTATTTCGTTACAGTATACACCAGCGACATACAGTTAAGGAAGCTCTAAACACCAAGAAAAGATGTTTTTTTGGGCTTTGACAAAATTGTATTATGTCATGTTGTGTATATTGAGTTTTTGAGTTATTTTTCAACATAGGTACGAGCCATATTTCTCCAGAAAAATGCTCTCAGACATTGAAGCATTTGGTGTACAGAAACCACCGTTATATATATTTACCTTCATTGGAAAAATGTATGCAAATAAAATATTCAATTATTTTATCATGGTCTAATATGTCGTTAAGAATACTTCAGTTTATTTAAAATGATGTCATTTACTGTAGATTCGTTTTTTTAGTTATATGTACTTGAATATATATTGAAAACATTCTAATTGTGTCAATTGTTACAAAATCATACCATTTTTGTATCAAATCAGTGATTCAAGAAAGGCATGAGTGTGTGTTTGTGTTTGTAATTGGTTTAGTTAAGAATTTTATCGCGAAAACTTTGCGAATAGCAGTGCTTCGCATGAAGTCTGCGCTAAGGTAAAATTTCAGATGATGGAAAATCCTGTCACAATCAGTGCACAAATTAATCAAATGACATAAAAGAGTCATATATATTCCGATACTTCAATTATGAGAATACGTACAAGAAATTTACTGTCGAGATCTGTTTTTAAAACATTTTTAGCTGGCGTTTTGTATGATCCAATCAAATTGTTAGATGATTATCTATGAAATTCGAGAAAAAAGAACATTTTTTATGTTTTTAATAAAAGTTTTCAATAGCTTGAACAAAATAAGACTAACATACTATTCTTTTTCAGGGTTCTCTAGTATCCATCTTATGGGTTTTCTGCAGTAAACAGGTAGGCGACTAAATAAAATTTCTTTAAAATTCTTAAATTCTCAAATTTGCAGTTGTGTAGAACCCAAGAGTCATTTTAGGTAGATGTCTTGCAAATTAGTATTATTACAGAAATTAGATTCCAATCAGATATTTTTCATCATATAACTCAGTCATCTTGGCTAATACAAAGTCATATGACGTCTATGGGCCATAGATAGCAACATAATTTAGCTTGATTATTCCAAGTTACAATTACGAGTTTGAGTAAAGTTCTTAATAAAACCTATACGTCATCAACAGGAATATACTTTCCTTATAAATTCATTTCAGGTAGGAGGGAAAATGAATTGTTAAAATGATTTAAATGTTTTAAAATTGTATAATGTAGATTTAGTTATATTGACCTTCAATAGAGATATGAGCATCCATTTTAATCATGGGGGATTATTTTTATCGCAAGCATTTACATAATGCATTTTGTGACTGTAAGCGGACAGATAGATAGGCAAAACGATAAACGTAGTAGGACAGACAGAAAGATAACAAAATATAAGATCCTGGAGACACTATTCATTTGGACACGACAAATTACAGCAGGGAGGATCTAAATGTGAATCAGTTGTTTCTTAGCGTGAGAAAGGCAACTGAAGAAGTCATCTAAATGGTCCTAGTTATGGATTATATGAGACAGTAAAAATTATTTGTCTCAAAAATAAAGGTTAATTTATCGACTAGAAGATGCTGTAATGAAAAATAGCAAAAGGTGTCTGGGATCATAAGACCTCACATAAATACATGGAGATCAAAATGACGACAAATTTACCAAATAAGGGTTTTACAAATTCTCCGTTTCATTATAGTGTCAATGATGATTTGTCTGGTTTGTTCTTGTCCTTCAGTGTTTGTTTATTAAATCATTAATCATGTCTCCTTGTATTTAATTAGATCAATTTGGACTAAATGTTAGGGAGATACTTATTACTTCTACCTCTCACTGCGTCAAGATGATTGCAAATCATAAGACCACAACTTGAGGTTTCATTACTTGTTTTTTCGTATGTGATTTTTATTGATAAATAATGAGATTTTTCATTTTCTTTTTCAAAGCTACGGGATTTCTTAAGAGCGTCCATTGAACGCAAATGTCCGCAACTTTTTTTCCGATTTAGGGAACGTAAACTCAGTGCCTTATCCAGTACTCAACTGACGCACGTTGTACATCCAGTACATAACACGGCTATGGCAGAAAATGTCATTCCACAAGAGGCTGAAGTACAGAGACTAGCACCCGAGGAGAGATGAAATATTAAAATAAAAACATTGTAAAGCTATTTTCCTACCTTTATCAATAGAAATATATTTTGTTTATCTCCTTAAGGGGGCCGACTGGAGTTTTCATTACGCAATACTTCGCGCAGCATAGTAAAATAAAGCGTATTTACTCTTTTAAAGTAACTATTTTTACATAATTTATAAAAATTAACAAATTTAGGAAAGCTAAGGTTAAAAAATCTAATTACGTTTTTAAATAAGTGATTTTCAAATGATTTTTCAAATGATGGGTAGATAGACGTCGTAATAGCGTGTTTTTGACGTTATGAATAACCGAAGTTCGACAAGCAGGGTCATTAATTATGTCATAAAATAAAAAGTATAAAATAGATGCTCTTGAAATTTTAAACATAGAAAATTGAGAATCTCACAATCATTTTTGTTATTTTTTATGTAAATCTGTGGCATCCGTCATGTTTTGTTGTACGCCATAAAAACGGGAAAATATCACGATTTTTGACATTTTGAGATGCCCCCTCTGGAAACCAGACGGTAGAATTTTGTGTTTCTTGCCAAAAATGTACAATATAGTATTACTAATCAAATAATATAATTTGAGCAAAAATTCTATGGTAGCATTTGAATATTTTGCTCCGAAGTGCGAAAAAATAGTATTTTCCTACATAATCCTATAGCAAATGTACCTGTATTTTGAGATGGTCCCTAAAAAATAACCAGACGGTAGATGTTCACTAAACTTGGCATGTATACTGTAAGGTACATATGGTATAAACTTAAAGAGTTTCTCTATAGTAGTTTTCACACAATAAAACCCCAGTCGGCTCCCTTAAAGTGAACCCTCGCTGCGACTGTGTATACCCGTATAACTTGCATTCTTATGTATTAGAAAAGTTTTATTATTATAATTATTATTTGTGCAATATTATATATGACTTAATAATTTATGGTGTGTGTTTGAAGTTTACTTTTATGTGTATTTTCTCTTTTACAAAAAGTTGAAAAGTTGATCAAGATATGCTATTTCCAAGTGTATGTATGCTTAAAATTATATGCTTTGTTTTAATCTATTTAAATCTTGCTGTATTGATATCTTTATGACGTCTAGAAAAGAATGACTGGAAGTATCACAGCTTTGAAAAAATTGAAAAATGTTTGATAACTCAATGATCTCACTTAGTAAGTGAAAATGTGTACAAGTACAAATCTTGTTCTGAATTGAATGGGGCATTTTAGCCATGAACACCTATACAGATGTTATGTACTGGAAATATGTTCATTCTTGTTGGTTTTCTTTTTTTATTTTTGTTTTCCATGTATTCCTTATGTTTGATTGAAAAATATATATATAACATTATACCCAAGACTTTTTTTTATTTTAATCTAGCTGTATGATCAAACGATCATATGAAATCCATTTCATTAAGTGACAACCGGAAGGAAGCTAGTTTTATTAGGATCGTATTTTGAGCCTATTTTTCACCCTCAAAACTTATTCAAAAGAATCCTGTCTCACAAATATTCATTAACTTCCAGAAACTGTAAAATATTTTCATAAACGTTAACCTATTGATATCGATACGAGGATTACATGCTAACAGTTCAATAAACCAAATGCAGCAATTTGATCACACAATGATTTCTAGAATTTTAAGTTAATTGGGGCACCGCTATTTGTGTATACCCTATAGTGATCAGTCTTTCCGCCCGCCTGTCCATTTGTCCGTCTGATTTCGTTTGTCCGGAGCTTTTTCTCTCCCCTTGTCCCAGTCAGGCTCAAACTTTACCCATAGATAGCCCGTGAGTAGAGGGTGTGCAGTGGCCTTGAACAGTTTTCTAGATTAAAGGTCTCTCTATGTAAAATCCTTGTTCGGAACATATATTCTCTCCCTTTGGCCCACCTGGGCTAATACTTCAAACATGGGGTTCTGTGGGTAGAGGGCGTGTAGTGACCTTGAACCAATTTTTCTGGATTAAAAGTCAAGGTTAGAAATCTCTGAATAAGAAAAAGCTTGTCAGCTTTTTCTCTCTCCTTGACCCAGACAGTCTCAACCTTCACCCATAGAGTTTCCGTGGGTAACAGGTGTGCAGTGATCTCGAATCAATTTTCCACTCGAAGAACAAAGTTATAAAACCTCTCTGTGTTCCTTATTCGGAGCATATTTTCTCTCCCTTGGCTCAGTTAGGCTCATACTCTACCCATAGAGTGTTCTTGGTTAAAGGATGTGCAGTGACCTTACACAAAAAAGTTGACGATAGAAGCGATAGGAAAACTTAAGTCATCTTGTTTGTCATACAAATAAGTTATTAGCTTCCCTTATTCTTTATAGTCAGTAAGATATCCATCTATGAAACAAATGTGACAGACTCTGTGGTGTCTTTTATTTCAAGTTCACTTGGATATATCAAGTTTTTGAAAAAATTCTACGCCATAGGAAAATAAGAACAGGTCGGCTAATAAAGGCACACAATTACTGCCCTTCGAAATTCCAACAGTTCGTTGGAAGAACTGGTCTCCGAAGACTACATAAACGTTGTCAATGACGAATTCCAGGATTCTTTTGATATTGTTTAAGAGTACTTATGTGTAGAATCAGAGTGATTTTTCACAAAGTAATTTTGTTGATGACAAATTACAAGATATGAAATTTCCGAGTTCTTTTGTTTTCTTGAAGAAGCAAGTGTATATACAAACAATTTCTAAAACGAGGCAAGCTATTTACAAATAAGTTGATAAACAAAAATATCAACAGTCTCGTTTAAAGTCAACATTTCGCAAATTCTATGGTCGATACAATGACCTTGTCAGCAGATATAATCTCTCATTATGTCGAATGTTGACTGACTTTTTTCATACAACGTGGAAGGCCATTATTTTCACATGAATTGTCAACGGATTTTTCTATTTGTCCGATCATGTCAAGGAGCACACGGCGGGTGTGACCTGTCAACAGGGGATGCTCACTCCTCCATGGCACCTGATCCACCTCTGATATTTTTAGAGGTCCGTGTTTGCTCTCCTCCAAATTTGTGTTGTTTCAATGGATTTCTGAGCTTGATTACTGTTCGACATCTTCATAATTCATGATATCAAAAAGCCTAGTTTTTAATTTATATATGACGTTGCCGTTTTCATATGTCTTGTGTACCTACTTTATATTACGTCATGCACTGATAATCCTAACAATTTTAAGTCAATAAAATATTTGAACTTCGGTCAAGTAAGCCTTAAACAAATGATTTGGACTTCTCAATATATTAACACACTTACCTTCGCAGGGAGGATACGTCATTGATGCAAGGTAAAAACTATCAAACTTTAGTCTAATTACTGTAAAATATGTGTACATTTCCTTTGTGTGCATATCTTGATCTTAAGAGAGATAACTTCATATTTAGTAGGTTATATACATGTATGAATATGCGAGTGTTTATATTTATAACTAACAACACTTCTTTATTTACTTTGTTTATCGATATGCATTTATAAATTGCTTTCATCACTGACTTGGCCGATATTTATCATGGTCAAATTGTTAGATAACGCCCTAGCAATAAAATTTTTCAACACTTGACAAGTAAATAGCTTGGCTTTTTCCTCCCTTGTAAATTATGTAGCAAGATCCCACTATTGAAGGCCAAGACCAATCACTTTAACAGGAAGGATATTGTTCCACTAAAATTCGCCCATATTATTATTTTACCGTGCTACGTTCTGTGCAGTTAAAAGGATGGTGAAATTGTTAAAATGCAGGATGTTAACACTACGGGACAGATAAATATCAAGATTTAGTGATTGTTTCTTAACTCTCTATTCCAAATGGCACAAAACATGTCGGAGTTTTCTTCAAAAGTCTTCTTATTCGTTAAGTACAAGACTGGAATAGATACGTTTACACTAACACCGCAGTTTAATGCAATTTTTCACACAGTTTTGTCACTTTTATTGCTTACCGCCTCGAAGAGCAATGAAAGTCTTCTTAGCTTCTACCTTTTCTTTCTCCCAAGGAATGGGTGACAACGAAACCGAGCCCCTCATAAGTCACAATATAAGCACTACGGATTATAGGAAGGAAAGTCTTAACACCAACATCAATACAAAGAAAGATGATGAGTTTTCATTTTCAAAAATACCGAAACACAGAAAAGTCCTTCTGGCATCCATGGCATTGGTCAATTTTTTAAGTGTTACGGGATTCGCACTTCTTGCACCCTTCTTCCCGGCAGAGGTAACAGTACACAAATTCAGAAACATCTTATAAATAAATAAATCATATGATGAAACATCATACAAAAAGAAACGATACAGTTAATGACATTTCTTTAAAAGTCCTTCTTAACTCAGAATAAATTGTAACGAGTTTGTGTTGATTTTAGGCTAAAAAGAAGGGAGCTTCGCAAACCGTGGTTGGAATGATATTTGGAGTTTTTGAGTTTGTTGTCTTCTTATCGGCTCCAGTACTAGGAAATTATGCAAGTTTATATGAACTCACCTTACTAATTATTTACAGTATAGGTTCCATTTCTATACATTCAAATGAATTACTAGTATTTTTTAAAAATAAAAGATGTTGCGCTGATTTGCTTCGAAGATTCTAGCAAAACTACAGATATCCTCTGTCAGTAAAAATATTTCTATCTCAGTAAAATGGAGACCAACATGATAAGGTATTATTAAAATGTTGTAAACAAAAGAAGAAGGGTACTGTTCATCTGTATAAGGCAGCATAGTAGGATGTTTATGTTCAATACTCTTTTAAGAGTTTTTTTTTATTTATACATTTGACAGATTACAAAAATTGGGTCAAAGTTTATGTATCTCTCAGGTACCATGATTGGAGGTATATGTGGTATATTATTTGGGTATGTACACACTCTAAGTATAAATATTTAATAAATTTTGCACTTGTTCTGTATTTAATACTTTAATTCTAATAATTAAATATTGGAACGAATTACATGTATATTAACTTTTTTCATTTTTATACTATAAATAACTTTTTTATTCGCGAGAACTTTATTTATGCTAATTACGCGAGGCTGTCTGCTCACGAAAATTTCATTCTCGCGTACATGTATATACCGGTCGATTATATACTCTAATACATGTAACCATAATTCGTGAAAAATTTTATCCCACTTATCTAAATAACTATCTCATGAAAATAAGGTGTCGCGAATATTTGGTGATCTACAGTACCCATAACTGCTAGATGGGGAAGGCAGAAAAACACAATAGTCGACATTTAAATTTTGTTCTTTTTTTTTCAGAGTGTTAGATAAAAGTCCCGATGGAACTATATACATAGTAATGTGTTTTCTCTGCCGTACAATAGAAGCTTTAGGATGTTCGATGTTCTTGACGGCCAGTTTTGCCATTATTGCGACGGTGTTCCCTGACAACGTTGCTACTGTTTTTGTAAGTACATGTATAAGCTGTTGGAATTGATGAAAAAACTCAAATAATCGATCATTAAGTGCACATCTGTATTTTCTTTTATGTGAAAAGTGCTCACCATACATTTGTAGATTTGTTTGAATTTATAGTACACTTATTTTTAATGAATTTGTCTATATTGAACAGAATGCTATGCTTGCCTGCGAATAAAATAGTACAGACTTTGAATTTGTGGGAATATTTTTTTAATTATTATTTTCCATTTTCTTTTTGTAAGATGTAAAAGAGACTATACAGAGATATAATGTGTTAATAGATTGTTGATTTTTTTTTTTTTTTTTTTTTTTTTTTTTTTTTTTTTTTTTTGTATATTGAATGCATTAGAAACATTTACATTTTTGTTACCTTTTGCATGATGTATTAAGTATATGTACAATGTAGAGCGTATTAGAGACGTTCTCTGGTCTTGGAATGATCGCTGGTCCAGCAGTTGGTGGCGCCCTCTATCAGGTAATATACACAGATTATTGTTTTTAATGTGCTCATAAAAATATTTTACAAGTATTGAAATGATTTATTGTTTAATTGTACTTTGAGCTTCAATACTGTTCGTCATCGCCATATTTCATTAAACCTGCAATTCTTTATGGTATTTCTTAAGGTATCTTGAGTATTTGGGAATCCTTCTCATACACTCAGAATATGCATCCATACGAACTCTTTGTTCATTAAACTACAAAGATGTTATGTAACCTATATTTATTTGGCTTTAAAACAAGGAGAAGTCGGAAATTAAAGTCATTTTCGTAACTCTTTTACCACAACAATCTTAATTGTTTTATTAAGATTTGGTACCATAAATGATAGAAATATTAATTGTCATTGATGCCGTAAATGAATTGGTTACTTACGTGAAAATGATGTTTCCAAATCATTAAAGAGTAGATTGTGCGTTTTTTACTTTACCAGCTTAAATAGTTTTCTTAACAAATTACTTCTGAAAATCTATTGTCTAAATACTGATTTCTTTTTTCAAATGATGGTTTTGTTTTAGAGTATCTTAGGTACGGAAGCACTGAAGGGACATTAGAAGTAAATTTAAAACGTAAATCTTTGCTGGAACTATGTACCTTCCATCATAAACCCCACCGTTTTTTTTTTTTAAATTAGTATACGTGTATTAACAAATGTAAATTATCAATTCAGAATTAACAAATAAGTCATAAAAAATAAGTCAAAACAAGTAAGAAGTAAGACAATGTCCTTCCAGGCTTCCATACTCAGGTCATATCTTTAAGTGACTTTCTTTTGCATGAATTTTTTTTTTTTTTTTTTTTTTTTTTTTTTTTTTTTTGGTCATAATCAAAGTAAAGAGTGTCGCCTGCCATTGCAATATTGAAATAGAAAAAGAATGTATGTAATGGTTAATAACTTACCATACATTTTATTTTCAGTTGGGAGGATTTGGGTTGCCATTTTTCGTAGTTGGATCCATAACAGTGCTTAATGGAGTACTTGGACACTTCTTTATAGGGCATATTAATGGTGAGTTAATGATGGATATTAATTATATTAATTAATATAACTTATAGAATCGTACTATCAATTTTGAAATTTAAAAATTTGAAGCACCAAAAAAGCTTTCGTTATTCACATTAAATTTAAATTGTATTTTTGAAGGAATTGAAGAACAACTAAAATCCTAGTATATTAGCAACTTTAAATGATTTTTTTTAAAGTAAGTCATAATTGTCAACACTGAAAAACAGTATTAGAATTATATCATCATAACAAATAGAAACCCCTATATACACTTTCAGATTCCCCAAGACCCAAGTCAAAATCCATACTATCTCTACTCAGAAATCCATTTTCCTGGGTCATTGCCTTAAGTTTATCAGCTGGGAGTTTTTCTTTAGCATTTCTTGATCCCACATTAGCTTTGCATGTGAAAAACCTACCTGAGGTATTGTGCCATTATTTTATTTCTTTTGACCGATTTCTTCAATTGTCTCTAAAAAAGGATCTTTTTTTCGATCAACTCTTCTTCATTTCAGTTAAAGGATAATACAGCATTAATAGGACTGGTATTTTTGATAGCTGGTGGTATTTACACTTTTACTGCTCCTCTATGGGGATTTATCACGGATAAAAAGGTAAAAATGGCACTGAGATTGGATATCAGAAACTTCCATAGCTAACCCATATATTCCAGATTGTATCGGAGAAATCAGTCATTTACATGTATATGACTAATTTATCCCCATGAGTGTCCATCAAAAATAATAATGAGAGAGATTGTAAGTAAAGACAATTATTATACCTACAGACCACTGTTTGACTATGGGATAGTATAATTTTAAAACAGTTGTCCTTTGACCGTCTTGGCCAGTAATGAGCTCCATATGTATGCATTCATAAAATCTAGTTGGGACTTGCATTAATTGACTAACAAATATAATATTATATAGTTATTCAAAGGCTTTAAGGGAGCCGACTGGGGTTTTATTGTGTGAAAACTACTATAGAGAAACTCTTTAATTTTATACCATATATACCTTACATTGACTTCAGTATACATGCCAAGTTTAGTGAAAATCTACCGTCTGGTTATTTTTGAGGGACCGTCTCAAAATACAGGTACATTTACTATAGGATTATATAGGAAAATACCATTTTTTCGCACTTCGGAGCAAATTATACAAATACTACTATAGACTTTTTGCTCAAATTTTATTATTTGATGAGTAATACTATATTGTACATTTTGTGCAAGAAACACAAAATTCTACAGTCTGGTTTCCAGAGGGGGCATCTCAAAATGTCAAAATCTATGATATTTTCCGGTTTTTATGGAGTACAACAAAACATGACAGATACCACGGATTTATTAAAAAATAATAACAATGATTGCTAGATTCTCAATTTCCTATGTTTAAAATTTCAAGAGCATATATTTTATACTTTTTATTTTATGGCATAATTAATGACCCCGCTTAAAGAACTTCGGTTATTCATAACGTCAAAAACACACTATTACGACGTCTTTCTACCCATCATTTGAAAAATCGTTAAAAAAATCAGTTATTTAAAAACGTAATTAGATTTTTTAACCTCGTATTTCCTAAATTTGTTATTTTTTTTATAAATTATGTAAAAATAGTTGCTTTAAAAGAGTAAATACGCTTTATTTTACTATGCTGCGCGAAGTATTGCGCAATGAAAACCCCAGTCGGCCCCCTTAAATAACCAGATATTTGTACATCTTTATTTGTACCTCTGTATTTGTACATCATTACATCTGTATAGATCTCTACATTGTACAATAAGAATCACAAACAGCATTTGAAGCATAAATGATGCTTGCCGTGATATACTATGTATGAAAAAGGTGAAGATAACGAACAGTGATCGATCTCAAAGAACGCATAAAACACGAACCCCTGGAAATTCCAGATGTGGGATCTGATGCAAGTTTATACAATTTAGAAATTACGGCTTATTGCGAAAGGTCTTACCTGAAAAAATAATCTTAATAATATGATTAAATAAAGCATCTTAAGCATCGTTTTCCGTGCGTACCCTTACTGTTGACTCCTCTACAGATTCATTCACTGTATATCTTTGGAAATTAACGTGTTCCAAAGACTTCTATGTGGAACCTTAAAGAGACATGCCAAAAATCTGCTCATTATCTACAAGCACAGCAAAAACATCCGGAAAAAACTGAATAATTAGAAAACTACGGGCAATAACTTACGTGAAAATTGGTCAATTAATGAAACTTGAAATTGATCTGTAAGTCATCATTATAAGGAGTCATAATTCAAACACAGAATTTGAATCATTATTGATAGTATTATATCCTTACTGCCTACCATACAATGTAGACCGTGCCACAGAGGAATTATAGATACATGTACTTTCGAAGAAATCTTATAGAGGAACTTAACTTGGTTTCTCATTCAGAAAATAAAAGACGCTTGCAAAATTGCTGATTTTTTTTTACACATTCCACAATATTCAAACCCTCAAAAATTTACAGAATTTCTGTGACAAACTCTCCACATACTTTTGAGCCTTTGGGTAGCTCTGCAGCAGAAACGAAACTTTCTTTAGTTAATTTAATTTCATGTGTACAAAACATGATCCATCGTATATAAATCCATTTTTCTGCTAACTCTAAAAGGTAGGTTGTAGTTTACTGAAAAACAATGTGTTTCAGACGGAGGAATTAGCAAATATAACATCAATATTCCCTAACATTTGAGAATGAGTGGGTATTATGCTATCTGAATGATTAAGTACTTTTTTTCAACTTAATTATTTATACTTTATCTTTTTCAAATGTACAGATGGTTTCATTCATTTACACATTCAACTTCTGAATTTTTAAGTATAATGGCGAGTTAAACCTCCAATCGGATATTTTAATTATGTGCACGCTTTAATGATGAGAGGCCTACTGTATTACTTCACCCTTTAATTCTTGCTGGGTTTTTTTGTTTGTTTGTTTGTTGATCTTTTGATTTTTTAATTTTATTTTTATTATTTTTTTTTGGGGTGGGGGGGTGGGGGGGGGGGGGGTCAGCTCTATGGAATAAATCGGTACTTCTAAAGACCAGAGGGTCTTTAGTGGGACGACTTAATTACACATTTTTTTTTAGTTTATGATTGTTTGCATCTCAAAATATGGTCATCTGTGTAGTTCAATACCACGTATTTTAACTTATATTACTAGGGCTACGTGAAGAGCATGATGGCAATTGGGAATTTGGTTGGGGCAGTTGGCTATTTACTAATGGGACCGACACCCTTAATAGATCACTTACCTTTGTAAGTACAAGTGGATGGATTTGACTATGTGAAAAAGAAACAAATTTTTAAAATTACGTTTACGATCACTCAATAAATAAGTTAAGATGTAAACATTTTCAAATGAAAAACTGTAATTGAGTATATATTTCAATGATATTTTTGGACTTTTGTTACTAGCAAACTGTGGTCTGTAATTTTATCCCTGATACTTATGGGACTTGGTTTAGGATGTGCAATCATTCCCACATTCAGAGGGTTAATAGAGTCAGCAAAGTAAGTGAAACCTCGAACCTTCGTATAATTTTTGCTTTTTCTGAAAACATTAGCTAGTGATTATGTCTTTGTGTAATGATCAAGTTTATAATTGAGTCTCGGCTTCATAAAAGGAAAATTGGAACATAATTATAGTCCAATACCTGACTATAACCCTAGAATTTGTTTTTCTTTATGCATAGTGTTCAGTTTAGGTCCATTTAGTTATTGAAATATTACCTCATGTGCTAATGTTAGCAATATCTTTATCCATATGCTGACATATTGCTTTCCATTATGTTAAGACTTAAAAATGCATGTATTAAATATTTAGTACCAATTCGAAGTTGTTTATCCTTACAAATGTCAGTTAAGGGTGACTTGTATAAAACATGTTTCTTTTCGTTTGCTGTTAATAGGGCACTTGGAATGGAGGAAAATATGGACACTCATGGCATGGTCTCTGGACTTTTTAATTCCTGCTTCTCTCTTGGGTACTAGTACATATATATATATATATTATATATATATATATATATATATATATATATATATATATATATATATATATATATATATATATATATATATATATATATATATATATATATATATATAAAGCACATTTTACAACTGTTAAAGTAACATAACTGCCCTAAGTGAAGAAATATTAATATAGAAAGCACAAAGAAATTCACTTTTATAAGGATACCCACTTCCGCCCCAGCCCGGAGTTGAACTCTCGAACTACGGAATCTGTCTCCTAGCAGTACAGGAACAGCGCGCTAGACCGCTCGGCTATCTAGGCAAGTCAAAAAACTTGCTTTCGATGCCGATGGAATTCTCGCGGCGCTGCCCTACACTACACTGTCGTTGAGAATATATATATATATATATATATATATATATATATATATATATATATATATATATATATATATATATATATATATATATATATATATAATGCAATTGGCATTTTGCATAGGATCTTAAGCATATTCTCATGCACACATATTCATTGAATTTGTCAATAAACTGTGAACCCAAATTTTATTGGCTATTTATCTTCTAAAACAATCGAATTGATAGTGCAAATTTCTTTCGAAAGAAAAGTACATGATTGTATGTTTCTCAAAAATTCAAATTGTTTTGAGGCTGTTTTTGGTTGACACTTTCTTTCTCAAACACCATTACGGTATCATTATATGAATAATTGTTTCCAAGTACATAATTGCAATTAGAATAATTTTAATTTAGTGCTTTTTCAGTGCATTCATAGGGCCAACAGTAGGAGGAGCTTTGGCAGATGAATATGGTTTTGATTGGTCAGCAACAGTATGTGCCGGGTTAATTACTGTCTCAGTAAGTTGTTAAATAACTGTATTTTAAGCTTAAGATAAAAAATATTTTCAGAGTGAAATTTTGAATGTGTTGCTTCTGTTTTCAGGTAATATTTATTGCAGCTTTTGGAATCTTTAAGACTTGGAATGAGAAGAAATACTTAAGAGGTTCGGACAAAGGCAACGATACGATAGTTTATAAATCAGAGAAAAATAATGTATAACTACTGCCATCTATATTCTAACTTTCTTCGGGACATTTTTGCTATTCAAACGATATACTACTGTTTATATTTGTGGCAAAGAAGGTGAAACATATTTTCATAATAACCAAAAAGAACAAGCAGTTATTTAAAAACAAAGCCGTGGTTGCTAAACATTATAATTGTATAATGGTATAAACAAACACAACTAACTTCAATATAAATAAGGCATTGAATATTTAAGTTCAGTATAAAAGGGCATTTTAGATTTGTGTCAAAATTTACACATAACTTGGAAAAACACTTTTAAAATATCATGCCAGATGCATTTTGTCACATAAAAACACTATCCATTATATTTTATGTATATTTAGAGTATATTTTATGTTGCTTCCATTTAGCACAAAACATGTACGTTTGGTACAACAGGTGAACCAAGAATATTGCATCAATGATTAATTTGAACTTGTCTTATTTCGATAAGAATTTTTTTTAATATAGAAAGGACAATAAAATGTTTGTTTGCTAGCTTGCTTAACGCCCTTCAAGAAATTTTCACTCATTGAGACGCCACCACTTGCCGATGGAGGGCTGCAAATTTAGACCTGTATTCGGAACTTATGACCTTTGAGCAGTGAGAGAAACTTTCGTACCAGCTTCTGCTGCGACACGGGACCACGGTTAATACGGTCTCATCCGAAGGACCGGTCTCCACGTTACACAGTTGATTCGAATCCGCAACGTAAGGATCAACACTCGACTCAAAGCAAACGTTTTAACCACTTCGCCACGAGAGCGACGACAATAAAATGTAAGATCAATTTAGTACCCGGCATTTCTGATTTAACTTACATATAGTACTGATTGTATTTTCCACGTTTGTTATCAGTTTTATGCAGAAGGAAGTGCTTAACAATCTTTTTAGTTTGTCATGCGTACGTACATGAATCGTCTATTTTGCTACCAAATAAAAAAGACTAATTTAGCATCTAAAAAAGATACAAAATGGAGATAGCGGGAGTCACGTAGGCAACAAAGGTTATATTTAGGATGCATATCTTGTGGTTTTTCTGCTAACAAATTGTATAAAAGTAATTATTTTAACATTTTTTTTACATTATAAATATTATATGGAATTAAGTCAGGGAAATGAATAAAGATCTTTATCTAAAATGTAAGTACTCTATTTTTACGTATTTTTATTTTTCAAAAAATTAATTTGCATGATGAAAAATATAGAGTATACATTTTGTATTTCATTTGTGCAAATATGATTGATAAAAATATTAGTGGAATTGATATGCGAAATATTACGTCATAAGACTTTCACTTCTTACAAACATTCTCGGTTTATCTAAAAAGAGACAATAACAATACGTTTATAGAAAAAAAGACATAATTATGTTTAAGCTCAGTACGTGTAGAATTCAAAACGATTGGATGGTTTCATATTTACTTGACAGTTATATAAGATGTCATCTTTTTTTTTTAAGAAGGACAATCTTAAACTGATAAATCAAATTGAAATCCTTGAATGCATTTTAACAATTAAAGGATACAAGAAACACTTTTTTTTCTGTAAGGGAGAAACATTGAGCCAATGTTTAACGTGAATATTAAATGACTATATCAATTGATCTATTACAAGGATAACTAAACTTGATTTATGCAGCTGCTTAAGATATATCGCCATTTGGGATTTCATTGATGGGAACTTATTCTTCATCACAAATAGGAGATACTGACTTTCATGAAGTACTTCAATTTCATTTACTTCGTAACATCTGAATATAGTTCAACACGTAATGGATTTATTTTCTATAGTTTAAAATGAACAAAAATATCAATTCTGGAATCTTCTTTGAGATTTTATTCACTAGAATTAGGCCTACAGTAAATTTTAAATCCTAGTATTCATGTTCTATGATTTTTAAATGGGAGGTATCTTAATTTATACATGGTGAATATTCACGTCTTCTTTGGAGAACGGTACAATGTATCTGTTTAGTTTGTTATACCCGCACTTTCTAAAGAAAGATGTTATCTCGGTCCTTCCCTCCGTCCAACTGTCAAACTGACTTCTTCTTCAAACTTCTATTCCATTTTAAGCAGTAGTCAGTTCATATTTTTGAATATTTAATATGATTGAAGGTTTCTTTAAGATGTTCAATAAGGATTTGGGCTTTTCTTTCTCATTCTGGAAGCCGACTGGGGGCCGACAAACTTTTTACAACAAAAACCTGGTTACCAGAACTCCTCTTAAATTTTAGGCAATACCCAGTTCATTTTTTGGAAGTTGATTAGAAGTTCCTGTAGATGTGCATGTACGTTTCTAAATTTTCGTTTTCATCCTGAGAGCCAATTGGGGTCGAAAAACAATGTTTTTTCTACATAAATCCAGTTCTCAGAACTCCTCATACATTTTATGCAGTAAACAAATCACTTTTTTTAATATGATTGGTGGTGTTTTATATCTATGTATAGTTTCGAAATTTTTATTTTTTATCTTAGGGACAAGAGGTGCCAAAAAATTCATTTTTCTATAAAGTGTATGTAAATTATAGAATAGCTCCCATACTATTTACAAGATTACCTTTAGAGGCAAACACTTTGTAAGGGTAATACAGTACTCTCTGATGAAAGTATCTAGTTTAAATTTTTTAAGAAATTCTTTAATAATGTAAAATTCGAAATCTAAATAATCACAGCAAGTGATTCTTTTATCATTTATTGAATATTTGTAAACTTTTATTTTACAAATTCCCTTGTATATATGATATCACAAAATGATAGTTGGTGATGCGTCTTTTAGTGACTGATATCCCTGTCGTTTTCCACAGGCTCTGCTGTTCCGACATATTCCAAACAATATCACAGTGGTTGCCTTGAAATCAAACCAGAGCATATATTTGAAACGAAACCAACTTTATCCTGTTGTAGTAGTATTTCCAATTTAATCACGGGTAAGTTTTATAGCCGAGAAAAATATCAAAGTTGGACAAATAAGAAAGTAAAAAAATTAAAATCAAACAAAAACGCATTTTTTACTTATTAAATAACAATTTTATATATACCTATGTAAAACCAATTTAGTTTCTGCAATTTTATTTCGTGAAAATATTTGAAGTTTAGTTATTCGAGCCTCTTATTACATAACGAGTACTTCTTGTACCGGTATTTGAATTGCATACTTGCAAAGCAACCGGCAAGATTTTTTTTTTTAGTTTTTTTTTTAATTCTCACAGAATTGTTTTCTTTCCTTTTTACCACTCGTGATTTTTGCCGACAGACATATTAATCAATTTTAAAAAATCTATTCAGTTAAGCACTTAAACAATCAAATATAACAATTTCATACGCCTTATTCCCAGATATTAGATAAATGTACATTAACTTACTGTGCACGCATTCAATCCTGCAAGGCATGTAGCAGCCCAATTAAATCCAATTTTGTAAACGAGAATGCCACCAAGTGTTGGACCAAGAAATGCTCTGTTTGAAAATGAAGAGATCTTTTTCATAAGTAACGAATTGACTTTGAAGTGATTTATAGTATTATACAACACCGAAATGTAACTCATACTAGTTCTCTTTTTATTGTAATGACATTTCCTAAAGTAAAATCTAACTCATTATAGATTTATTTGATTTTTAATAAGTATTAATTATAAAACATGTTGTCTTATAGTAATGGGTCCAAACTGTGTGAAAAGAAATGCTTAATTACCCTAGAGAAAATGTGGAATTGAAAAATCCGGACACAGTACCATGGGTATCCATATTATCCTCCATACCTAGTTCTCTAAAGCAGAAAAATCAGTAGTATGGAGCAGGTCTAAATTATAAAACCTAATCTCCTTATAATGGAAAGCATAAAAATCAGTAATTTCTCCAGGAAGTTTAACATTCTTTTCATGTAGAAATGTGCTCGACATTTCAACTACACGCCTTTAAGACTTTGAATAGTTCTTTGCTATATGTATCTAACATTTAAACCGTTCACGGCAGCTCAGTCGGTAGAGCGCTCGCTCCGTGATCGGGAGGTCGTGAGTTCGAATCTCGGCCGCGACAGACCTAAGTCGATAAAAAATAGGTAGCAACTGTTCCTTCGCCATGCGCTCGGCACTTTGAAGTGAAAGTTGCGGGTCCTTCGGATGAGACCTTAAAAACCGAGGCCCCGTGTCACGGCAGGCGTTGGCACGATAAAGATCCCTCACTGCTCAATGGCCCTGAGTGCCGAGTAAAGGTCAAAATTTGAAGCCCTTCACCGGTATATGGTGACGTCTCTATATGAGTGAAAAATTCTCGAATGGGACGTAAAACAATATACAATCAATCAATCTAACATTTAATTTCATGCTTTCATTTGAACCTTCTTCTGTCTTTTACATATACACATGTATTTATTTGTACATGTATGTACAAAATGATAACGTAAAAGCAAGTGAGGAACTTCGAACAAGCTTTCATTGCACGTGCTATAAAATATTTAACTACGAAAAGAAATACTTATACTAGGAACTGATGTTTTGACGAAACAGGTACAAACTAAATGAAATGCTCAATTTTCATAGATTTAAACGGCATGCAAATCATTATGGAATAAGCTAATACATAGACTGGATTTACCTAGCAGAATCCAGTAAACCTCTGAATGTTGGAACAGAAGAAACGCCTGATCCAATACCCATTAAGAACAACGAAATAGAAATAGTAACCAATGAACTGTAAATAAATACAACAGATTAATCCTTTCACAAAAGGAGGAATGCTACACCAAATTTTTATTTGATGAATCTTTACGACATCCCTTTTTAACTATGGTTTTAGCATTGAAATACCGATATTAGCTTTCAATTATGTTATTTGAATTTTTTTGGCATTTTTCAGAGGAAAATGTAAAAATTGTTTTATTTGCAAATATGATGCTTTATGATAAAACTTTGCTTTTTTATATATTTTCTACTTTTCACTGAAAAAACGTGAAAGATATTCGTATAAAAAAAGCAAAAGATATTCGTATGAAAAAAAATTATGCAGAACTAATATCGGTCTATCAATGCTAAAATATTTCAAAATATGCTACTGAAAGACCAATGTTAGTTCTGAATAATTTTTTTCATTAATATTTTAAAAGGGACGTCTTAAAGATTCATTTAGTAAAACTTTGGAATAGCATTCCTTTGTAAATCTGTAGTGATAGATCCAATTTCATTGTACGATTTTTCTCAAATCGAAAATTATTTGACGTTCTGTCAAAAATTTCTTTAAAATTGTTTTATAAAATTTGAAGCCACGAAATACATCATGTTTCTTAAGATCAATTACTATTGGATTATATATATATATATATATATATATATATATATATATATATATATATATATATATATATATATATATATATATATATATATATATATATATATATATATATATATATATATATACATACATACATACATACATACATACATACTAGTGCAAGAATTTGAGGAAAGGTGAGGGTCCCATCAGCAGCCATGCAATCGTGCCCAAAATGTTTCCTACTGACATTAGACTTAGAACACAATGCTTAAAGAAACAAAAACCATAAGACAATAAAAGATTAGTTGTTTTATATTACAACACACTGAATAATTATTTTAAATTATCAAAACCATTTACTGTCGCTTAGAACCACTCTTTGCAATGCATGAATATATATATCTTATAAGTTGAACGACGTAAATTTTGTAGAAATTTAAAAGAAGTATATATATATATATATATATATATATATATATATATATATATATATATATATATATATATATATATATATATATATATATATATATATAATTTTACCTTTTTATCAACAATATACCCCCAAAAAGGTGCCGATATCGAGTAGGTTCCTGCACCAATCATAAACATTAGTCCTATAAGGCCTGTCTTGCCATTCAGCTACAATAATAACTAAATCTTTTATCAATATACCATTTTTGTTACTTAAATATGCCAAAAATTACAATTATTTTTCCTCAATCATTTAAATTACGTCATCGATGAAAAAGCTTTCGTATCAAATTGACAAAATTGCAAAGTCATTACCTCTGGTAATATGGAAAGTTTCAATGCTAGGGTGGGCTCAAGGAACCCCATAGAAAAACTTCCTGTTGCACAACCTAAAGCAGAGACCCATGTGTAGGGATTCCTGAGCAAATAAAACAACGATCTTGACTGTGACTTTGATGCATCTAAAACAGAAATAATGGGACAATATAGAGTTAGATGATAAAAATTAAGTGCAAAATATTGCATTTTATGGGGTTGGTAATCAGTTTTGATATTCCTGTTGGTGACACGTATACACTTGTTCGAAAAATAGATATGTATTTTGGCGAATTCATTTCAGATTTAACATACTGTTGCGTATATTACGATTTTGAAGCAGATCAAACTTGACTTTATAGGAATCTGACCCATTTGTAATAACTTATTTTTTTATTGACAAAAAATTACGTTTTTTAAAAAAAGTTTTTTCTGAAAGATTATTAATATAATTGATAAACATTGATAAACTAGTATGAGAATGACGGATTCGGTACACTCTCATGCAATAATGACTTAAAGAGTAAGTTTTAGTTTCACGAGGTTCCGATCCCTTTTACTCTTTAGTCACTGGAAATCGCGAGATGTTTTCCGTAATATTCTTTTATGGGACCTAAATCAACATTCTTTTAGCTTTATTTTTGGAATGTTAAACATTTTCTTCCAATTGGGAATACCAAGTTTTACAAGTAGTTTAACGTCAAAGATAGAAGTAATTACCACCATGTCCTGGTAGAAAAAAGTATCCAAACACGCCGGTCATTATGCAAGCACAGCCTACGACAAAGAATGGTAGCTGGTACCCACCCGCCTGGAAATATAAAGCAAATAAAAATGACTTCTTGTTATGGCATAAATTTTCAAATCAAAATTAAAGTAAATATAACAAAGCTAACATTTAGATGATATTTAGAAGTGTTGAACTGATTTAAACCTTCCAAACATATAAAAGATGGCTATTCTAAAGATATGTGACCTGATATAAGGCGCCTCCCACAGCGGGTCCACACAGCAATCCAAGGCCACAGAAGGTCTCCAAGGCACCCTTTAATTTACGTTATAAAAAATACTGAATTCAATTCTTCAATTTAATAGCAGAGGTGTGACGGTTCATCTTGTGACAGGTGTTCTGTATACACGAGGGCCATTCATTGAATAATGCAACCTTAGGCTTTACATTAAATATCAGTTTTATTCATTCCCTCTCATTTGTCGAAAATTGAATCATTTTGCTTTCGTATTCGTAAAACTCTTACAATTAAAAAACGACACGATCACTACACTAAGGGTTTAGCTCTAAGATGGTCTTTCAGACCATGACAACGGAAATGCAAGTCTATGTGAGATACTGTGTATTGCTCGGGAAATCATTAAAAGAAATGCAGAGAGATGATTGCTATATATGGGAAAGTTATGATTTCACACAGTGCAGTTTGTATGTGGATGAAGAAATTCAAACACGGAGAAACAACTCGGGAAAATCAAACACGTCCAGGACTCGATTTTTTGTGCTTTAATACCGATAAATCGAGAGTGATCTGTACTTTGCTTTGAATATTAAAAATAATGTACCTAATTGAAGTTTTAAAATTTGAACTTCTTTCTCTATTAAGGACCAAAAAGCGCAAGGATCCAAAGAAACATTGATACTGCACGAACACTATGATAATTACGGAAGTGTATTAGTGCCACGTAATATTTTTTTTAAGTTGGCTTTTCCAACTTTGATCTTGGCTTTTCAAACTTTAAAGTTGGCTTTTCCAACTTTGCACGGCTTTATGCGTTATATTCAGATACTTTGTAGCTGGACTCGTGTTGCCGTTTTGTACATGTAATTACAATGGAATTATTTCATTGTGTTTTCATACACAGAATTGATGCATTTAGTTCTGTTGTATTTGTAGCATGTAATATAGTGTTTATTCAACCTACATATCAAAGACTTAATAATGGTTCCATTTGTTTAAGCTTATTCTCTCATACAAAACAAAATATATATCTTGATAGGTTAGGTTGAAATCCTGTCAGTACGGAGTTGTGTGAAGTTATTCTCTATATACGGAGTTGCATGAAGTTATTCTCTATATATTTATAAATTGCCCGCGTGGCGCAGTGGTTAGAGCGTCTGCTCTATAGTCGCCAAGTAAGGAGTTGATCCTTACGTCGCGGGTTCGAATCCCACTGTGGGACGTGGGGACCGGTCCTCCGGATCAGACCGTATAAACCGAGGTCTCGTGTCGCAGTAGGTGCTGGCACGAGAAAGATCCCTCACTGCTCAATGGCCGTAAGTGCCGGGTATAGGACAAAATTTGCAGATCTCCATCAGCAAGTGGTGGCGTCTCCATATGAGTGAAAAATTCTCGAGAGGGACGTTAAACAACACACAACGTACGGTTTATATAAGATGGACCAAAAGAAATATAAAGATTTTTGATTAAAAGTTGGAAGTTATATGTAAGGTCATAGGGAAGGTCAAGGTAAAAAAATTATTGACACAGATTAATTGCTCACCATTCTATTTCAGTGTATCAATTTTGCACCTAAAAAAAGAAAAGGGCTAGAAAAACTCAAAGATGGAAAAGCCAAGATTTACCAACTTCAAAGTTGGAATTACCAACTTTAACGCTGTAATTACCAACTTTAAGGTTGCAAAAGCTAACATAAAAGTTAAAATTAACAACTTTAAAGTTGGTAAAGCTAACAAAGTTGGAATTGACAAATTTAAAATTGGAATTAACTTCTTTTAAGTTGGAAAAGCTAAGACTTAAGCTGGAATTAACAACTTCAAATTTAGAATTACCAACTTTGAAGTTGGAAATGCCAAGATTAAAGTTGGAAAAGCCGACATTAAAGTTGGAATTAACAACTTTAAAGTTGGAAAAGCCAACTTTAAAGTTGGAAGTACCAACTTTTTAGTTGGAAAAGTCAACTTTTAAGTTGGAAAAACCAATATTAAAGTTGGAAATCCCAACTTTAAAGTTGAAAAGCCAAGATTAAAGATAAAATACACTTCCGTGGATAAAAGAAGATGCAAGATATACAGTAAAAGAAATTGCAAGTGCCCTCCAGATTTCAACGGGAACAGCACAGAAAGTTCTAACAGAAAAGGAGTAATAGTACATAAAAGTAAATCTTATTAATGTTTCAGTCAGGTAGGTGCCTCGTTTACTCACTGAAAAACAAAGAACACAAGGGTTCAAATGGCATAAGTTTCAGAATTGTGGCAAAAGAAAACTACCATATATCATAACAGAAATGAGACCTCGATCTATTATTTTGTTGTGGATAGTAGAATGTGGCTTCATAAAAGAAGCGGAAGGCCAATTATTGCAAGGAGATGACAGAATTCAAAAAAGTTTTGTATATCGTTTTCTTAGACGCTACAGGTGCAATCGTTAAATTTTACAACTAATGGAAGGAGACTTTCATGGTTTATACCGGTGTATATATATATATATATATATATATATATATATATATATATATATATATATATATATATATATATATATATATATATAGGGCATTGAAGAAAGATAAACAAAAAAATCTATAAAAGACAGCCAAAGACAGGTCTTGTTGCGTGTGTCGATGCATTGTTATAAGAAGGGTTACTGTGTGAAATATGTGGGCAGTGCGGGTAGGTTACATATTGTCGCCGGCGTAGTACTATGGCGACAAAATGTACCGTCACAAGAGGGATCTTGGCATGCATGATAAGTGTTTAAATCAACTGACTTAAAGGCTTAAATGAGTTTTTTAACTGGTTGTGCGTGCACTTATGCTATCCGTATATCAGGGTATGTGCGCAACTGAACTTATTAAACCAAATCCAGCATCACTATTACCGTCTAATTTTGAACTGCTTTTTTATACGTGTACAATTGAAATTCTCTTGTAACTTGCTATTTGATTGGCTGAGCACACTAAAAACAATAAGTTTATATTAGAAAACTTTTCCCGGCATGTGTACTTTGTAGTAAAGTCCTCCGCTCGAAATAATTACCAAAAAAAAAAAAAAAAAAAAAAAAGATTTGTTCAAGCTTACATGTAATTCAGATTTTTTTTAAAAATATCTTTATATCAATTGCTTCCCATAAAATTACATTTTCTAAATTTTAAATACTTACAAAAACTGTAATAGCTTTGTCTGGAAACACGTTAGCTATGATAGCGAATCCTGCTGTAATGAACATAGAACATCCAATACCCTCTAATACTCGAAAAATGAACGCTAGTACAATGAACAAAGTCCCCCCTTGGCATTTGTCTAAGAGTCTGGAAAAAAAAAAGTTGATTAACATTGAAATTTTTTTACGTATAAAAATTGTCTATACTAGAATGCGAATTTCTGAAAAGTAACCTATCAAATGAATTTCAATTGTTGAAATTTTATAAACACTGTATTTTTTTAATATAAATAATTAACTAACCCAAAAGCGATCGAACAAGCACCGGCTAACATGCATCCTGACAGATACGTACGTTTAGCTCCAATTTTGGTAATCTGGAAAAAATGTTCATTTACTAGTTATGAATTAATTTTTGGCATGTGAAACTTTCTTTAAAATGTGAAAACTAAGAGAAACTATTTTCTCTGAAAATTATTTTATATACTGGGTACCTTATATATCTTCTGTATACTCACAAAACTTCCTATTATTGGTGACACTAAGAAAATAGTTAATTCAAAAATCCCAAATATTACTCCCACAACAATCTGTGACGCCCCTTTCTTTTCGGCCTATAAAAATTTGAAATGCATGAATTACATATTTTGAGTGTCTTTTCATGTAATTCTCGAGAATTAAAAAAATTCATGCAATTACTTTTTTCCCATCAGTTGAAACATTATTAAACCAAAATTTGTGCTATTTTTAAAGTGCAAAACAGATAACTAAAATTACCTCAGCCGGAAAAAATGGTGCCAACATCGAAAATGAGGCATATCCAAAGAAATCTACGAGTACCAGAGAGACCAGTAATAATTTTCTATGTCTTGGTGCCTCTCGATAAGACATTGTAGGATTTGTCTCGTCGCCACTGGGCCCACTTTGTTGAGCATTTTGTGACTGTTGGCATTTCTTCTCCTCTCCACCTATACAGCTATATTTTCTATCGTATGTGACAGAACTAAGAATATATGATGTTTCATCTGTCTCTGTCATTTTTCATCTGGAAGAAAATTGAGTTAAACAATTGATTTTTGTTCAAACGAGTTTTTATTTAAAGAAAGTTAATTCTTAGAAACGTGTTTGAGCACTCCATAAATAGAACTTTTAATTTAAAAAAACTATATTTTTAGCTCACCTGAGCTGAAAGCTCAAGTGAGCTTTTCTGATCACATTTTGTCTGTAGTCTGTCTGTCCGTCTGTCTGTCCGTCCGTCTGTCTGTCTGTAAACTTTTCACATTTTCGACTTCTTCTCCGGAACCACTGGGCTAATTTCAACCAAACTTGCCACAAAGCATCCTTGGGTAAAGGGGATTCAAGTTTGTTCAAATGAAGGGCCACACCCTCTTTCAAGGGGAGATAATAAAGAATTAGTGAAAAATTAATAGCATCTTTTAAAAATCTTCTTCTCAAGAACCACAGGGCCAGGAAAGATGAAACTCATGTGGAAGCATCCTCAGGTAGAGTAGATTCAAGTTTGTTCAAATGATGACCCCTTGGTTAGGGAGGAGCCACAATTTTACAAAGGAATATATGGGAAATTTTTTTAAAAATCTTCCGAACTATAACAAAACCATTTGTTATATTGACATGGAAGCATCATCAAGTAGTTTAAAATTCAAGCCCCCCCCCCTTCCGGTAATCTTTTCAATACTGATTTGTGCTTTTACCTTGCCAATGTGCTCAGTTGAGCGATGTATCCCATGGGCCTCTTGTTATTATTATTATTATTTATTAAAGTCTTATGAATCTCCTTCCTTGCCTACGAAAGTATACATGTGGAAATATCAAAATATATTTTAAAGTAGATTTCTTATTCACTTGAAGCCTGAATATTCAATTAGTCTGTTCAAAATGTCATTAGCAGTAACGTGTTTCACACACATACACCAACCCTTATTCCTTTTGCATCATTAATATACCTGCTTTGAAGTAAAAGCAATCTATAGCAAAAAAATTACATCTGCGGAGCATATATTTTACAAAATCACATGTAGCTACTAACCTTATTTGAGAAACACAATGCTTACATGCATCACTTACACTGCATAAAATTACTGGTCGGAAACGCTTGCCCTGACATTACATGTCAAAGGTCACATTTACCATATCACAACAGGATACAATGACGCCATAACTATATATCATATATAGTGTCTAGGTCCGTTTCCTATTTTTACTATATAAATAACACTATATAGTAAATCAAATATAGGTCATTTTTTATAATTTAGTTTAGAGGATGTGGTACCTTTGAAGTTTGGTTTTATTACCTTCACACTGAGTTCCTGCAATTTATGAGTATATCCATGAAGTTACAAATGATGAAGGGACAACGACCATAACACGTAAAAGTATTCGAACTTTTTAAAATTCCTTAACTGTTTACTTAATGGACTTTTCTGCAAGATAGGTATGTCACACAAATAGTTTTTGTGTGACCAGAATCCAACTTCCTTCATTAGAAATAATGAGATATTTATTTGCTTACGTTTCAAAATAAATTTAGCATGATAAATTCTGTGCACAGTCAGTCAGTGACCCTTAACAAAAAAAAGCTGTATCTGATATTTATTTCATTTGATTGACATAAAATTAAAACAGTATATGATTTTTTTTTCATTAAATAATATGACTAAGTAAGATGTGGAAAGTACAATGAAGAACACTGTACCATAACTTACTTCAGCTACATGTTCTTCAATTTTCCATTGACAGAAAAATATTAGTAAATTCATATTTTACACCTGCATTTCCTTAAGTAGGGTATTATATATTGTTGTTATTCTGGTCCTTCTCTCCGTTCATCACTTTATCCTCTTTCTCAAACTCCTCTTCAATTTTACGCAGTAGCCAAATCATATTTTTTGGATTATGATTGGTATTCCGAAAGATTTCGAAATTTTCGTTTTCATCCAGGCTGCCAGAACTCCTCTTACGTTTAACGCAGTAGCCTAATCATCTTTTGGAATAAGATTGGTTGTCCTGTAGATGTACAATAAGGTCTTGAAATTTTTATCTTCATACAGGAAGCTGAGGGTCGAAAAACGCCGTGTTTTTTCAAAGAACCATATTCCCAGAACTTTCTCACATTTAAAGCAGCAATAAATCATACTTTGGAAGATAATTGGAATATGATTGTTGGAGTCCTGTAGATGTGCGATAAGGTTTCGAAATTTAATTCACGTCCTGGAAGAAATTATGACCAAGAACCGACGTTTTTTCTACAAAATGCATTCTTTCAAAGTCTCCTTTTTTTTAGTCAGACTATATTCTTCATTAAATTCTTTTTTTTTTTTTTTTTTTTTTTTTTTTTTTTTTTTTTTTTGCTGAAATAAAGTTTATGAAATATCTTCAAATGATAAGATTAAAAGTATGCAAGTTTTCATGTTCAAATGCAAGAGAAATATCAATCAGATTTGTTGTGCTTATGTTGGTAAATGAAATAACGATGTGAGGGAATGGGTCAAAACGTAATTATTATCACTTATACATTTTTTTACTGATACTTGTTGAGTTCTAATGAATCAATTTTACAGTACATAGACTAAATTGTATACATAGGCTATGTACATTGGTTACCATAAATTTCATCAATATCCCGACAAGAAAAAGGGAGATCTAGTATTCTAGAACTGGATGAAAACTTTTGGCATCGTCCATTAAAGTGAAAAAGGGAATCAGCATTCATAAGTTCTATGGTCGATACAATGACCTTGTCAGCAAATACAATCTTTCAGTAAGTCATATGCTGACTGACTTTTTTCATACTAATTGTAAGGACATAATTTACACTGATTTGTCGACGGAATTTCGTTATTTCCCGATCATGACGAGGAGCACACGGCGGGTGTGACCGGTCGGCAGGGGATGCTCACTCCTCCATGGCACCTGATCCCACCTCTGATGTCTTAAAGGTCCGTATTTACTCTGCTCCTATTTTGTAATGTTTAATGGACTTTTGAGCTAGAATACTGTTTGTTATCTCCACATATTTTATTCATTTAATTTTTTTTATTGCATCTCTACTTTCGTTTTCAGTCATCTGAGTTAAACAATGTCATCATTTTCTGTATTTGATAGCTAAATGAACATTCAAAATTATTGCTTCCAGGCTATAAATATTATATAAATACTGCATGTAGTTAAGGGTAACATTGAAACTTTTCACCTCGAGAAAACCATCGTCAACCGAGGCGCAGCCGAGGTTGACAATGGTTTTCGAGGGGTGAAAAGTTTCAATGTTACCCTTAACTACATGCAGTATTTATTATATTATACTGAATGTTTTATACAAATAAATATAACACTGAACCCTGCGCGCATAAATTCTGTGCAGTCAATATTTTTTGGAATATCACCCGTCGTCAAGCAATGTTGACTGTTGCTACGCTGGAGGGCGTGGTTTCATCATTCAGAGGGTAATTGTTTTTAACCAATGTTTCTCGACGAATCAGATTCAACTAATTTACATGAAAATATAATATATCAACTTGTCACATAATGATGTCAACTTGTGAGATGTTATGTCGACGTGTCAGAAAATTATATTGACTTGTCAGATAATAATGTCGATTTATTAGATATTTATGCCGACTTATTTGAAGTTATGTCGACTTGTCAGATGATTATGTTAACTGGTCAAATCTTCATGTCGACTTGTCAGATCCTTTTGTCGACTTGTCAGAAAAATATGTTGTCAACTGGTTGGCTCCAGTTTAGTGAAAATGGGTAGGGACATGTTGATTCATGTTGATTTCTAAACACGTGAATAGGTGACAAATCAACAAAAAGATCTGACACGTCAACTTAATTACCTGCCAATTCTTCATAAACATATGACAAGACGTCATACACATCTGACAAATGGTAGCAGAAATGACAATAATTTTCCTTCGTAAATTAAACTTAAAAGTACACGTGCGGATCTAGAGGGGGGGGGGGGGGAACAGATCCCATTTAAAATGGTAAGAAAAGTCATGTATCTCAATGAAGAAAATAGATTAAGGAAAGTGTCTTCTCCTACCCCCCCCCCCAGCCCATAGATAGGTTTTTCAGGTCTGAGGAAACTTATTACTATTTTCTGAGTCTGACATCTGTTAGAGTTGGTGTGGAAACACCGCCGAAAAAAAAATCCTGGATCCGCGTCCGAGGACAATCATAAATTATGTTTTTGAATCTTTATGAGTGAAATAGTGATCAAGATATCAAGAATTTTTATTATTCAAATATATTTTCTCCGGAATGTTATTTGTACATGCACTTTCACTGAAATATGGAGATAAGCTCAAAACTCCACTGAAACAATACAAATCGGGAGCAGAGAAACCACGGACCTCTAAAAAACATCAGGTGTGAGATCAGGTGCCATGGAGAAGTAAGCATCCCCTGTCGACCGGTCACACCCACCGTGTGCTCGTTGTCATGATCGGGCAAAGGAAAAATCCGTAGACAATTCAGTGTTTAAACAATGGCTTAACAATCAATATGAAAAACGACAGTCAGCATTCGACTTAATGACAGATTGTATTTGCTGACAAGTTCATTGTATCGATCATAGAACTTGCGAATTGATGACTTTAGATATCGTTGATTCATCAACTTGTTTGTCAATAGGTTGCCTCGTTTTAGAAATTGTTCCTACAGTGGAGCATGCTCTTGCGTATCGAATCAACTGGGAGATATAAACCCCATATGCATGTGATAAATGTATATTGCTACATAAGTAAGGGGAATTGACGATAGAAAAGTTGAAGTCATCACGTTTATCATAAAATTTTGTTGTTAGGTTGTACTTAACGTCTTTTTCTAGTAAAAGTCGAGTTGAAGTTGAAGCAAGTGTCTTCTTCTTCTCAGGCATAAGTTTTTGAATAAATTCTGCTTCATATGAATACAAAAATATGTCTGCTGTTAACTGGGGGCAGTTGGTACCCATGGGAATTCCGAAAGATTGTTGGAAGACCTGGTCTCCAAAAACCACATAGATTTTGTCAATCAGAAACTTATTAAGCATCTTTTTAATATCTACTTCAGAGTACTTGTGAGTACATTCAGAATTTTTTTTAACAAAATAATTTTGCAAATGACCAATGCAATAACACGATGAGTAAATTTACGAGTTCCATTTTTATTTAAAAGGCAGCTGTCTATGATGTCAAAAAGCCTGGACTTAATTTAAATTATCGTAGGGAATGGTTGTATAAAGTGTTGAAAAGTCGTAGGTTTTAATGTTATTGATTTAGGTAAAATTTTGTGATTTCAAATTTTCTAAAAGTTCCTTGGAGTTTTTAAGTATCCACAACTGATTTACACCACATCTCAAATGTATCGTTGTACAGTACTCCTGAAGTTTCTCCTTCATTGCTGTTAATATTTAAGTGAGGCTTGGTACACTGTAGAACATTTACTGGAACCTGCTATGTGTCTTTATTTGTAAGGATTTTTATGAAGTTAAGGAATCCATAACAGTTTTCAAGAATTTATATTATACAATTATATTTTCTCCGGAATGCATTTTGTATATGTAAAAATTTAAAGAAACATGAAATTGTAGGCCATAAGGTATATCCACCATTGTGCATCATAGTATCCCGGAAATAACGCTATTGTCTGTTTTTCATTCCAGATTTGTTAGCGCATCCTCAATATCCAGTATAATTTTTGTGCAATACTCACTTGGTACATGTACTGCAGGACGGGATTGCATAATCAAAATGTAACAGTGAATGCGCGTTTTGTCGTATATAAAAAAAAAAAGTGCCCTTGAGGCGGTTAAGCTGCTCCAGTGAATAATTCAGGTTAGTACTGTTGTATTTCTAATTTTCTATCACACGATTTTCTTAAATTTATAGACTAATGTGGACTAAAGATGTATCGTGGAAGGTCCTAAATCAATGGGGTCCTGATATCAGTGGCATCTCCTTTTAAGCTGGTACATTTTATATATTTATTTTGTTTTTTTTATTCTTCTTTTTTTTTTATTGGTGAAGATCTTACTTTATCAATACATTGTATATGAATAATGTTTGGTAAGTAGTAACAGTCGCTTATACAGTATATATGTGAAAAATCCCTGAAAGGAAATAATATGAACAGTGTAGCCACTGGACCCTTAGCAGCTTTACTTCAAAAGAAGTTTTCAGATATATGTGATCGATTTATTCATCACTTTCAAATATAACCATATATTTCTGTTGAAAGTATTCTGTATTTGTTACTGTGTTTATTTTCATAATTTCTATATAATTGTATGTTTGGTGTTAAGCTTGAGTATAGAAACTTTTGAAAAGTGTCGTACCACAGATTTAGGTACCTCATCTATCTGCACATGTCTAAAACAGAAAATGATATATTTAGAGAAAAAATATCTATTGGTTATTTAATTGTGTCATGGTGCGGTACTTTTTCTTTTGATGTTTGCCATACTTAAAATCAGATAGAAAACCTTTGGCTGAATTCCAACGTACTATAACTTCTAGGGGGCTGAGCTTAGCCGTACAATAACTTCCAATGTACTGTACAATAACTTCCAAAGGAACTCAATACTTTTGAAATTTTTTTTCTTCAATTTCTGTAAGCATATACAACCTATCCAGAGGAAAAATGAGAAACCTCACAAAATTCACCCCCCCCCCTTTTGATCTGAAAATGCATACGTGAAAACCATTTTCATGAGGATTACATGTAAACTCATTAGTTAACCAATTTAAACAAATATTTTAAAAATACACAGACTTTCTTGAAATGCGTATTCAAATTAAAACAGATAACTGAAATCTAACAATATTGAAAACGCGCAGTTCGATGATTCCCTTAATGGCAACTGTTTTCTGAGTTCTTTGAGTTACATGCAAACTGATACATGTTCGTATATAATTGTATCTGGACTATTTCACACTACATTCCATAATTTTGATACCTGTGGCTTCAGTACTTGACTCGGATTTCCTCGGGACATGCAAGCGTATCCCTAGTAACAATAATGTAGCGGGTCAAAGTGCGGATGGATCCAGGTTTCCAGTATTGTGCCTGTATTTGTAATGGTTTTTGAAATACTCGCACTGCTAAAATTAATCCATCAAATACAATTTCACACTCGTTTAACATTGCTTGATTTTTCAATGCAACCATCTCCTTCGTACTTTCTGCTTTGTTTGAACACCGGGCCTGTTCACTTACGATGGACCTAGGCCTATGACGTAATGTCGCGTGCAGTTTGGTGCTGAAGGAGTGACTATGCAAATTACCATGACACAAGACATTTACAGACACTTTCTTTCGTTTGTAAGGAATTTATTGTACAGAGAGGCGTGACAGTCTCGTCGCTGCGCGACTCGACTGCCAGGCCTCTCTGTACAATAAATCCCTTACAAACAAAAGAAAGTACTGTAAATATAACTTATTGACCAAAATTCTGGAAATATTTTAATAAATTGAAGAAACCTTTTATGAAAAACTTTATTAATTTCTTATTCAATTGTTCTTGTTAAGAAATTTTGTAATTGAATGCAAATTACCACCAAAATAGGTTCCTCAAGGATACATTATGCACTCATGTTTGATATCAGAAGTGTATACTGTAAATTCTTTCAACATACTAGATTTAGTACATAAAGAAGTGTATACTGTAAATTCTTTCAACATACTAGATTTAGTACATAAATGTAATATATAACTTCCCATGTGCATTAAGATTACACCATATCCATCTACATTCTTATAACAAACTTTGCCTTTGTAATGTTTTTGATAATAAATTAACTGCATATATTTGGGGGAGGGGGGGGGGGGGGTTACAATTTAAATTTATATTTTTTCAATGAAGTTTTGTTTCTTTTTATTATTTTATTATTATTATAATTATTATTAGGGGTTTTTTAAATTTATTTAGCTTTTTTGTTTTCTTTTGTTTAGTGCTTGTCAAGTTCTGTATCTTTTCTTGTCAATTACATGTACATGTATCTTCTGACTCCCCCCCCCCCCCCTTTTTTTTTTGAAAAATAATCTTGAGTTTTTTTGATAATAATCCAACTCAAGTTTGTAGACCCATTTCTTTCAGTATTAAGTTATATTTTTAACCTCAGAAGGTGGCCATTATGAATGTCTATATTGCAAAATGTTGTATATGTAACATTGACATTTGAATGATTAATGAAATGATGTATTCTATTTACATTGTTTCTTTTCATCACAAAGGTGATAACTTTTAATTTTTTTTTTAAATTAAAGTTGTTCTAGAACTTCTTTCTGAGGAGAGTGAATGTATTTATATATTCGTAATATGCATTAGAAAGGGGGTAAATAATGACAATTAATGCAGACCAAAAGCTGGTAAAATTTTTTATAAAGAATTCAAGAAAAAAATACAGAAAAAAAAACACTTTAAGAACTTATAAACAAATAAGTTAAAATATAAAAGAAGTGTTTTTAAAGACACCTGAGTGACTCCGGTGATTGTTTCAACTACATGTATTATTTATAGGGATGTCAATGAATAATCGACTATTCAACTATCAGTCGAATGGACTGACGATCGAATAACGGAACGACATTCGAATAAGTAAATTCAATAAAAGAGTGATAAAGAGATGGAATTCTCATCCTAAAATTGAAAAACAGTCTTTCCCCCGACACAGTCGATAAGATAATTTTCCTCATTAAAAACTGCTGACTTTACATGTAGAAAGTACAGTAATTAGAAATGTTTCACTTCCGTGAGAATTATTTGTCAAATAATGTGTTGTTTTTGTAATGAAATTATCTTGCTATACTGCGCTTTCTTTGTAAAATTATTAATTGGTCTTGATCTCATACCATGTACCCATTATAGCCGTGACATGTTTGGACACTACGATAATTATTATAAGATTAATATTCTTTTACATATTTTAGAGACATTTTGATAGTTGGTACAAAAAGTTTATTCGAATATTTAACATTATCACAGATATTGTGATATTGTGTCCCCCCCCCCCCCCATCATTTAATAAGCTGTAAAAAAAAATATATATATATATCGTACTGTCATTTTTTATGCTTCCTAAAAAACCGACTTTACAGAACAATTTATGAACATGATGGATGGGAAATCATACATTTTGGAGAATTAGCAGTCTATATTTAGTAAATATAAACATATGATACACATTTTAAGTCCATGTGAACATCTGTGTGTAACATTTGATTTTACTTGTTTATAAATTTAAGAAAAGGGGATTTGGGGGTTAAATGTGTCATGTACCGGTGAAGTTTGAAATAAAATTCGTTCGAATAATGCAATCGAATATTCGACTAAAGAAAATAAATATTTTGACATCCCTAATTATTTAATCTTTAAATATTTTAATACTGAAGAATGAAGACAATCACTAAAATTTCTCTCTCTCCCCCCCCCCCTCTCTCTCTCTCTCAGACTGTAGCTTGAACACAAACTGTTAAACTCATGATGAACAATTATAAGCCTATATTATGGGAATATGCATTACATACTATTCTGAAATTTTGGATTTTATCAAAATGATCATCTATACTAAACATTTTGTTTGCATAATTTTCTCTTCATCAACAATTCATGCACAGAGATTACAAAGTTAGAAATATGTATTGAATATACAAGGAATTAATCCAGAATCTTTACAGCTACTGATATTATGTATTTTTTAAAAGTCTATGGTAAATCCTTAAAAGGCACAGTAAATAAAAACCAAGAAAATAAGTTAGTAAGAAATTGTATATAATATACAGTTCTAGATTTTTTTTTTAGTTTGATATGGGTTCGATCAGTGTAGAAAAAAATGTTGATTTAATCTGGGCTTACCTGGGAGGCATTGGGATGGGAGATATGAATTGTAATGTTTTTCATTAATCATAGGATTATTAAGGACAGATGATACAAACAAACTTTTGTCAAATATCTTAAAAATAACTTAAGTCATGTTCAAAGGAGTAAAATGAATTACTTTAACCACATAGTTTTTCATTTTTAATTCAAAGTTTCACAATAATTGGATTTAAAGTGACGAAAAGTTGTATAGATTAATAAGGATGATTGCAAAAAGGTAGAATTTTGAACATCATAAAAAGTTAACAATTTCTTAATATTTTACAGATTTATTATTCACATCATTTACAACCAAAATAGGTCCAAAAATATATACCTATCCAGGCATCCATTTTTTTTTGTTTGTATCATCTATCTTTAAGACAATAATGAAATCAACATTTTTGAAAAATAAGTCAACACTTAAATTATTCATTTTATCATATACAGTACTTGCTAGTTAACATGCAAAACAAAATGAATGTGTAGGTCAATGATTGTGATTGCATTGAATTGGATGATATGTGTTGATCACTTCATCATGTGAGAAATTATGTTCTTTTAATGAAACCACATAGGAGGAGAGGGATAATGCTATGATTTGTCCTTGTTGAAAGTGTAACAAGTCTTCTGGAGCTGCTAGTTGTTTTGCTAATACTTTATACTATAAAATACTATTGTCAGCATTAAAAAAAAGTTATATACATCACTTGATTTTTAAAAGTTAACTTATTTGATTGAATCTTTTATTTTTCTTTTTAATTTTTATTCATCAAGATATGGAGGACAGTGAGCATGAACCCCTATTAAAGCAACCTGTGAACGCTTTAGAATTAAGTAAAGGTGACAAAAGCAACAGTAGTGAAGAAGACAAAGAATTTTCATTCTCTAAAATTACAAAGCAAAAGAAGATCCTCCTGGTATCCATGGCCATGGTGAACTTCTTCAGTGTCACTTGTTATTCACTATTAGCACCATTCTTTCCAGCAGAGGTATACATGTAATCTCATGATAACATATTACCTGGTATTCTTGAAGAAATTGCCATAGATTGACAAAAGTTATCGTAATACCACTGAATTTAAGAAAACTCTTCTGAGCATTATCAATTTATGCTTTCATCATTTTTTTTTTAATTTTAGGCAGGAAAGAAAGGTGTTTCACAAACTGTGGTTGGAATGATATTTGGAGTATTTGAGTTTGTTATTTTCTTGACATCCCCCATATTAGGAAATTATGCAAGTGCTCCTTTTTCTTTTTCTTTCCTATCTCTCTCTTTCACAACTCTCTCTTTCACTTTCTCTCTCTCTCTATCTCATAAAAAAATGATTATCAAATTGTTATTTTTTGCATTATTCTTATTTGTGATGTCATATGTAAGCAGTGCCTGCTCTTTCAAAGATTATTAATCATTTTTAATTGATTTAGTACTTACTAAAAATTTTGTGCACATATAAAATAATAATTGAAGAAGACATTTCTGACAAATTTAATAAAAATCTATTTTTAAGGCCAAAAGCACCCCTATTATGCTGTGTTCTTTACAATTACTAGCTTTTTTTTTTTTTTTTTTTTTTTGGTTTTAAAATAATGTTATAATTAAACTTATGCAGGTAAATTTAGAGTCAATTTACAAAGATATTAACAAATTCTTTACAGATTACAAAAATTGGGTCAAAGTTCATGTATCTCTCGGGTACCATGATTGGAGGTACATGTGCCATATTATTTGGGTATGTCAACTCTTCATATTTATATAGATCAATTAATTTATATAGTTTTGGTACTTCTAGTATTTCCTTTTAAAGTTTTGAACTCTTTAGTGAAAGATTTGTAGTTTATGCTTCATATAAATTCATGTATGACCTACTTTTATGTGCATAGAAGAATGTATCAATACATTATTAACTCACCTGAGTGAAAAGCTCAAGTGAGCTTTACTGATAAAAATTTATTGGTTGTCTGTTCAATTGTCATAATTCTTGTTGTAAACTTTCTACATTTTCATCTTCTTCTCCAGAATCACTGGGCCATTTTCGACCAAACTTGGCACAGAGTATTCTTGGATGAAGGGGATTCAGGTTTTTTTTCAAATGAATGGCCTCACCCTTTTCCAAGGGGAGATAATTAAGAAAAAGCGAAAATTGGATGGGGTCATTTAACAATCTTCTTCTCAAAAAACACTAAACCAGAAAAGATGAAACTTAATTCGAAAGTTTCCTAATGTAGAGTAGATATTCAAGCTTGTTCAAATCATGAAGGTCAGGGGAAGGGTGGGGCCACTCTTGGAGATCAGAGTTTTACATGGGAATGTAAAATAAAAATCTTTAAAAATCTTCTCAAGAACAGGATAGCTATGATCATGCAGTCATATTTATATGGAAGCATCCTCAGGTAATGTTTATACTAGTTTATTCAAATTATGACCCCTGGGGGTAGGGAGGGGCCACAATGGGTGATCAAAGTTTTACATAGGAATACATAGGAAAAAATTTTAACAATCTTTTTTTCTGGGGAACAGCAAAGCCTGATTAGTCATATTTATATGAAAGCATACTTAGCTAGTGTGACATTCTAGTTTGTTCAAATCTTGACCCTTGGGGGTAGAGTAGGGCCACAGTGAATGAAGTTTTATATAACAATGCATAGGAAAAATCTTGATTAAAACTTCTCAAGAAAAGCAGACCATGATTGGTCATATTTATATAGGAGTACCCTCAAATAGTGTAGATTAAAGTTTGTTCAAATCTTGACCTCTGGGGGAAGAGTGGGCCACAATAGGAGATCAAAGTTTTGAATAGGAATATATGGGGAAAATCTTTTAAAATCCTTTTTTCAAGAACAGCAAAGCCATGATTAGTCATATCTACATGTATATGGAAGCATCTTCAGGCAATGTAAATTCAAATTTGTTCAAATCATGACCCCCAGGGGTGGTGTGGGGCCACAATATATGATGTAAATTTTACATAAGATATATAGGAAAGAGAATCTTCTGTTGAAGAACAGAAGGTCCATAGTTAGTCAGGTGAGCATTGCAGCCCATGGGCCTCTTGTTACTGTAAGATGATTGTTCATAGATGTGTATACTTTATTCCAGAGTGTTAGATAAAAGTCCTGATGGAACTACCTACATTGTAATGTGTTTTCTGTGCCGTACAATAGAAGCGTTTGGGTGTTCACTGTTTGTAACAGCCAGTTTTGCCATCATAGCTACCGTGTTCCCTGATCATGTTGCCACCGTCTTTGTAAGCATTAGCTTAAATATATCCAGATGTATAAGAAAAAATGTCATTTTATGGTTCTTATGTAAGATATGTGTGGATCATTTTATGGAATGTATTTATATTTTCTGTGTATGTTTGTAGGGTGTTTTAGAGACATTCAGTGGACTTGGTCTTATTGTTGGACCAGCTGTAGGTGGTGCCCTCTATCAGGTAATGTAATCTGTATAATCTCATTGCTATAACTTTTAAGGGTATATACATGTCATTTTGGAGAGACTTTTGAGTCATATGATAAATCAGTTGTCAATTTTTAACACCAGACAGGAATTCCACAATTTTGCAAAACACAAAGTGGTATACATGTACATGTACATACATATATATATTTCTTTTTTTTTGGAGTTTTGATATTGCAGACCTTTCTGTATATTTCTGTCTGTAATTTTTTATGATCATTATTTGAAAAGAAAATATTTTGATCAAATGTAGACTACACAGGTAAATTCTTTGTTGCAGTCTGTAATTTTGATGAGCAGGTTTTTCATGATTTCTTTTCAGTTGGGAGGATTTGGGTTGCCATTCTTTGTAGTTGGTTCTATAACAGTACTTAATGGAGTACTTGGCTATTTTCTACTTGGGCATATTGATGGTGAGTACATTTTGTTGGTTTTCCATTGTCTGATGAGATTTTCATTTGTTAATATAAATGTTACAACTGCATGGTACTACACATATTAAATCAAATTGTTTGATTAGAATGATAGATATTCATGTCTAGAAAGTAATGTTTTTCAATGATAAGATTATTCCTTGAAGAGTTTTTCAATTTGAATTGGTATTGAACAGTATCAAAGTGTAATTAAAGCTTTCTGAAAATAGAAGCAAAGGATCAGATGAGAGAATATGGCTATTCTGAAATTGTTTTGATGATATAATTGATAAATGCAAAAGTATGTTTGTGATTTTTATTCTAGATTTCTTATTGTCACTGGGTTCACGGGTGCGTGAAAGTCTGTCAACATATTGGGTCTCAATAGCTCAGTGGTTAGAGCGATGGCATCGTACACCAGATGCCTTGGGTTCGAGTCCCGGTTGAGACTTGATTTTTCACCACCTGTGACATTACTATAATGTCAAGATTATCAAGTCATTGAAATCATTCTATAACTTTTTATATACACTCAAGTAGAATAAAAGGAAATGTAATTACTTGTAGAGAAATCACCACTTTCAGGGTTTTCAATAACTTTGAAGTGAAAAGGTGAATTTATCCATTTGAAGAGACTGTTTTAGAATTATTTTCAATTGTTTATTTTGCCATCTATAAAATTCAAGCAGTGAATTCTGATAAAATTGCCTCCTGTCACCCCTAATGGAAAGCCCAACACCTCTATTTTGTATCTTTCAGATTCTCCAAGACCCAAGACAAAATCTATCCTTCATCTTCTGAAAAATCCATATACATGGGTCATTGCTTTAACTATATCAGCTGGAAGTTTTTCTTTAGGATTTCTTGATCCTACTTTAGCGCTTCATGTTGAAAAGCTACCTGAGGTATGGTTGGCTCTTGATGAGGCCTTATGCACACATTTCCATGCAGATAAATCTAAAACAGTTTGTTCACTGCTTTATTTATTTTCAAGTTGAATGGTAAAACAGCACTGATTGGACTGATGTTTCTTATATCTGGTGGTGTGTACTCTTTTACTGCTCCTCTCTGGGGATATCTTACTGACAAAAAGGCAAGTCTTCTGGTTTTTTAAAGTTAGATTCATAAGGTTGTATAATTTTAGATCTTGATTATCTACTATTTAAATCAAATTTAAGTACCAGTATTTGTAAATCAAGATGCAAAAGGATATTATTAGGAAACACTATTTGATAGATCTTTTTTTTTTTTTTTTAGAATATTAATTCTTTTTCTGCAAATACTTGCACATAGATATTGTTTTGATACAGAATTTAACAAAAGCTGCTTGTATTCCAGCTTTCCTAAAAAATGTCTTGTGAACTTATCTTTTTACAGGGCAATGTGAAGACCATGATTGTATTGGGAGGTTTGGTTGGGGCAGTTGGCTATTTATTAATTGGACCTACTCCTTTGATAGAACAGTTACCTTTGTAAGTACATATAAGTATAGGTAATTAAGTCCATATGTTTCAAATGCAATTGTGAGTCAATCTTGGGAAATTGATTCACAATTCTGGAAAAGCAGACATTCTTTTAAATTTTTTAAAAGGATACCTCAGAAAAGCAAAGAATAACAATAAATATTATATTGTCAAAAATAATTTCGTTTTTTTTTTTCAATTTTTTTTTTCTTTTAGGAGGACTTCGATTTTTATGAAACTTTCCACACTTATAAAATTCATTTCCTTATACACTTTTATAACCTTTCTTAACAGTGAACTGTGGTCTATCATTTTATCATTGGCATTAATGGGGCTGGGTATAGGATGTGCAATCATTCCTACATTCAGAGGCTTGATAGAGTCAGCAAAGTAAGCAATGCTATATTTCATTTCTTTTTTTATTGCTTTTATTATATCCATGCAAACATATTAGTAAATGGTGGTTTGATGTTTGTCCCTCTATTTACCTAGCTGGCCATTTGTTCTGATATTTTTGTCTGCAGATTACATGTATTTCACAAACTAATGAAAGTTTTGGTTTATTAATTGTTCTTATCCCATCCATTTGTAACACTTTCTTCTTCCTCAAACTCTGTTTACATTTTAAGCATTATCAAGTCAATCTTTTGGAATATTATTGGTGGTTTGTTACAATGCAAAATGTAATAACTTGTAGTAAAATGCATTTTGCATTATTACATTCTGCATTGATATCAACACAAAATGTAATAATCTCAGTTTATTACATTTTGCATCATTATTGTTTTTCTACAAAACTTGCTTCCCAGTAGTCCTGTTACATTTAACACAGTGGAACATGCTGGGTGGTGACCTTTAATGTGTGTGTGTGTGAGAGGGTGTGTGTGTCTGTAACTCTGTGTGTTGGGCATGGGAAATGACAACATTTTTCTACAAAAGCGTAGCCATTTCTTCTTTTGGAATATGATTGGTGGTGTGCTGTAGATGTGCAACAAGTTTTTAAGAGTTTTGTTGTCATCCAATAGGCAATGTGGGGCCAAAAATTGACATTTTTCCTCAAGAATCTGGTTTCCAGAACTTAAATGTGAAATAATGTTTAGTTGTGTCTTTAAATGTGCAATAAGATTTTGGAATTCATTTCCGTCAGAGAGGCCAATATGAGGTGCCAAAAATGTGTTTTCTTCAAAACCTTGTCACCAGAACTGAACATTTTTGTTTTACAAAGCAACTAAATCAAATTTTAAAATATGATTATTGGTGTCTTCTATGTATGCAAAAAGGTTTTGAAATTCTTATTTTCATCTAAGAGGCCAATCTGGGACCTAAAAAAATTTTTACACAAGAATTTGGTTCCTAGAACTCCTCTTATATTCTTCTGAACCCATATCATCTTTTGAAATATGATTTTAGTGCCCTGTAAATGTGCAATAAAGTTTCAGAATTTTCATCTGTGGCAAAATAAAACCATGTTTTTCTGCAAATTGATGTCCTCTAGCTTTCACATTTTACTGAATCATCATTTGAAATATGATTTCTGGTATCCTTCAGATGTGCAAGAAAAAAATTTGGAATTTACATTTTCATCAAGGTTGCAAATAAGGGGTTAAAAAAATATGTTTTTCTTCAAAAACCATATTCCTAGAACTTCTCTTTTATTTCAAGCAGTAACTAAATCATATTTTAGAATATGATTGGTTGTGTCCTGTAGATGTGCAGTTAATGCTGGGGTTTTATATTTCACAGGTGCATTTCTTTTGACAAGACCTTCCCTTGGGCATCATTTATTTCGACCCTTTGACCTTAACCTTTGAATTTGACCTACTTATCAAAAACCTAAACCTTGGTCATAACTTTTGAATGGGCTTTCATATTTCACAAGTATATTCCTTGTGACAATACCTTACCTTGGGTACCTACAATTTTGACCCTTTGACTTTAGAGTTTGACCTTCTTTTGAAAAAAAACTTTAACCTTGGCCATATCTTTTGAATGATTGGTGCTAGGACTTTAATACTTCACTTGCATATTCCTTGTAATAAGACCATTCCTTAGGTACAAATATTTCTGACCTCTTGATGTTAACATTGGAGTGTGACCTCCTTTTGAAAAACTTTAACCTTGGCCATAACTTTTGAACGGTTGATGCTAGGGCTTTCATATTTCACAGGTGTATTCATTGTGACAAGACCTTTCTTTGAGTACCAATATTTTTGATCTCTTGACCTCTGCTTTAGAGTTTGACTTGCATTTGAGAACTTTAACCTTTGTCATGAGCTGCCACACAGGGGCATCAGTGTTTCACAAACACATCTTGTTAATCTAAGGATTTTAGAGTGTAATTACTTTCAACAAATAACACTTTTCTAAAGGTTTCTCAATCCCAAAGAGATTTAATTCTAGTAAGTATTGACCAACATTGTAAAGGTTCAGTTTTTTTTAATCAACAAATTGTATGAATTGATTTTAAGTGAGCAAACTAGTGGTTTGATAATTAACATACTGTCTGGAAAAATATAAATGCCAGCATAATGATTTATTCATCTTAATATTTGATTAAGTACAACACTTATATATACTAGCAATAGTTAAATAATACATGTACATTTTCAATAACAATTGACAGGGAACTTGGAATGGAGGAAAATATGGACACTCATGGTATGGTCTCTGGACTTTTTAATTCCTGCTTTTCCTTAGGGTAATACCTTTATTTCATTTTAATAACTGTATATTTTCAAGAGAAAAAAAACAAACACATTTGTGTTTTTATTCAAGAAATTATATGATGAATTAAAATTAATTCTATATATAGGGCATTTATGGGGCCCACTGTAGGGGGAGTTTTTGTGGAAGAATTTGGTTTTGATTGGTCAGCAACAGGCTGTGCAGGATTGATTACCCTCTCTGTAAGTTAAAGTGTTGAGTAAAGCTATGCTTAAACTTCCATAGATTTAAATGTGAAAATCAACAGAGTACAAGGTCATTGATTTAAATTAAGATCTATATTATTTTCTCTAAACTGAAAATTTCAAATTCATCATATTTCAGGTAATTGTAACAACAATATATGGTCTTTTGAGATTTAGATCTGAGAAGAAACCTCATCTCAGACAAGGTTATGAAAAGATTTTAAATAAACCTGTCACAAGTAATGTATGATAACTGCCAATTATAGTCTTTTTTCCATGAATATTCTTTTTATAAAGCCAAAGTTTACATTTTTTTTACTTAATGATATTATTTTCACACACACAAACATATTTATAATGTATTGGTTTTCTTGCCTTTGAAGTAGGAATCATACATGTTCTTATCCAGTGTATTGGCATACAATCAAATTTTGTGTTTAAATATTATTCCAAAGACTTAGTAGAGTATACTCAGGTTCATTGTATTTATGCAGATCTGATGTTTCTGTATATAACAGCAAATACATGTATTCAATAGATTATTTTTCATTTGAAAGTTACTTAAAATCTAAGAAATACCATGTTTTTAAAGACCTTGTTATTACTGAATCTTAAAAGTTTCGCTGATAATTATTTAGTTTTCATATGAATAGATATATGTATGATATGTATGATAAAATGTGACTCTTATATAGTTATTTTGAGGCATTCATTTATGATCAATAATGTGAGTAGTATTATACTCATTTACACTTTATATTTGATGCCCTGCCATTTATGTATTAATGTTTTTTTCTTATAAGATATATTTTAAAAAGATGTTTTTTTATTGTGTTATAAAGAACAAGAGCCACTTAGGGCTTTTTATGGCCCTGTGAATTTCTGAAAATTCAAAATTGTATAGTCTTAGTCAACAAGGCAATAAATAATACTTGAGCACTTGGTGAATGAATATCTACGAAAAATGACGTAATTTTCTTTATAGTCAATGCATTATGACATCATGAATTGTGTTATCATTCACATATCCTGAATATTTCTTCAAAAATGGCCAAAATATGATGCCATTTTTCAATATTTCGTATACAGCACAACCTCCGATCCAAAATGAGTAAATACATTATAAAAGAACTTTTAATGAAGATTATAAAACATATTTTAATTTTTGGATTGAGGGATGTGCTCATATTTTAATTCTTTGCTGAAGGTTCTCAAAAACACCTGTTTTCTGCAAAATTCAATAACATTGCAATTTCATACAACCTGTTTTTCAATGCCTGGACTCTTCAAAGGAAATTTTGTTTTATAAACTGAAAGCACTAAATCTCTACTTTATATTAATGTTGAAAATGGTACACGGGGTATTAGTCAATAAATTGGTATATCTACAGGGCCATTTTATGCATAAAGTGAACTTAGCTCTTTCTTTCTCTCAATATAATAAATTGTAGTTTTTATCATTTTCAAACCTTTGACAGTTTTTGGACAGGTGATCAGGATTGTGAAGAATTGTAAGACTAAGTGCATTGTATATTTTGAAAGTGTGATATTTATACACATCAAAGTGTTTCAACATTACATTAAATAACTTCCTTGTTTGAGTTTACTGGCTTCCTTAAGTTTTGCATTTAAATAAGAACAGCAATTTTTGTAGTTTAACCGTATGTGATATTTCATTTTCAGGCAAATGAATTTTCATCTCAGAATCCAATGTATTCACAAACTGTGCCATTTAATGCAGTGAATTTTGCAAAATTGAGATTTTACAATTGTGATTTTTTTTTGTGTGTGTACGTTCTATATATTTTTTTAAACAATAAACTGTTACTCAGTAACAAAGAAATATTGTGTTCTTCAGTGTTTTAAGTAGATAAATTTACACTTTAGAGAAGTTAACTTACACAATGCCCAATTGTAGATCACTTCATTGAAACAGTAATCGGTTCTCTGTAGTTTTGACTGGTGCTTAGTTATCACGTCTTTGTAAAGTTTACACAACCCCAATTGTTGCATCTGTATTATCTGTTTTTTTTATGAAAATAACATAGACTTTTAATATCAGCACATGATGCTACAGTATAGAATTTTGCATTGCACTTTCATTTATTACACATAGCTGTACTTGCCAGAGTCCAGAAGAGTTTATGCATTGGTAAAGTGTCTGTCTTCCGTTCTTCAACTGTCTAGCTGTCCGCCTGTATGTTAACAATTTTTCAAAATGCTTCTCCTCCTACAGTTTTGGTCCAATCTTAATAAAACTTTTGTACACAAGTAAACTATAGTAAGAAACATAATTCTTTATATTGATTTTTACAAACAATGTTGCCATGGTTACTAAAAATCTTAATAAAACTTTTGTACACAAGTAAACTATAATAAGAAACATAATTCTTTATACTGATTTTTTATTTTTACAAATGGTGTTGCCATGGTTACTAAAAATAGAAATTTCTTTAAAATTTCTTTTAAAACACTTCACCCCCTACACTTTTTGGTTCAATTTCAATAAGACTTGGTACTCCACTAGACTACATGTATATATACTAAGATACATAATTTTGCTTATCTGTTTTTGATTTTAACAAAGGTTGTTCTCATGGATACTAAAAAATAGAGATTCCTTAAATTCTTTAAAAACTCTACTCCTCTTCCAGTTTTGGTCAAATTTCAATTAGTAGACTATAGTTAGATACATTGTTCATAATTCTGTAAATCTGCTTTTGATCTCCACATAAGGTGTTGCCATGGTTACTAAAATACAAATGTCTGAAATTCTTTTAAGACACTACTCCTCTTCCAGTTTTTGACCAATTTCAATAAGACCTGGTACACAAATAGACTATTCTAAGATACATATAACCTGTATAACGGTTTATGTTTTCAAAACTGTGTTGCCATGGTTACTTAAAATAGAAATAATTAAAAACTCTTTAATGCTAGTCCTCCTACTGTTTTGGTCACATTTTAGTAAGACTTAGTAAACAATTTGACTATATTAAGGTACATAATTCTATTTGTCTGTTTTTTATTTCGGTGATTGTTGTTGCCATGGATACTAAAAATTGAAATTTCTTCGAAATTCTTTTAAAATGCTACTTTTCTTTAAGTTTTGCTCAAATGTCAGTAAGACTTGGAACACAAGTAGACTACATGTATAATAAGATACCTAAAATATGGAGATGGCAAACGGTATTCAAGCTCAAAGTCCATTCAAACAATACAAATCTGGTGCGGAGCTCAAAAACGTCGGAGGTGGAATCAGGTGCCATATGGAGGAGTGAGCATCCCCTGTTGACCGGTCCCACCCGCCGCGTGCTCCTTTTCATGATCAGGAATAAAACGGAAAAATTCGAAGACAATTCAGTGTGTAAATAATAGCCTAACAATTAGTATGAAAAATGTCAGTCAGCATTTGACTTAATGATAGGTTGTATTTGCTGACAAGGTCATTGTATCGACCATAAAACTTGAGAAATGATGACTTCAAACTAGTCTGTTGATATCCTTGTTTCATCAACTTGTTTATCAATAGCTTGCATCGTTTTAGAAATTGTTCATATATAGAGCATGCTCTTGCGTATTGAATCAACTGGGAGACAAAAACCCCATATGCAAGTGATAAGGGTAATATTGCTACATAAGTAAAGGAAGTTGACGTTTGAAAACTTGAAGTCATCATGTTTATTATATAGATTTGTTGTTATGTAACCATTAAAGTCTTTTTCTAACAAAATATCCAAATATGATATAGATGCGTCAGACTCTATGGTATCTTTTGTTTCAAGCTCAGTGGAATAAATTAAGTCGACATATGAATGGAAGTAACTATTGTTAATTGATAAAATATCGTCAATATATCTAAATGTTGAGTTGAAGGTCATGGTAAATGTTTTCTTCTTATTTAGAAAATTTTGAATAAATTCTTATTCATATGAATACAAAAATAGGTCAGCTAACAAGGGGTACAATTGGTACCCATGGAAATTCCAACAGATTGTTGAAAGAGCTGATCTCCAAAAACTACATAGATATTGTCAATCAGAAACTCAAGCATCTTTTTAATATCAACTTCAGAGTACTTGTGTATACAATCAGTAGAACATTTACTGGAACCCGCTATGTATCTTTCTTTGTAAGGATTTTTATTGAGTTTTGGAATCCAGTATAGGTATGGTAATTCAAATTCATTTTGATTCTTGGGAACGTTAAAAATATTTAAAACTGACATATGAAAGATCGGGGTTCCTTAAATTTTGGCCCTCTTATAAAAGTTATTGAAGGTCCTCATTGTTAACTATATTTACGTCACCAGTAATGACGTGTCCTGCAGTACTATAGCTCTGGGGTGAAGAAGAACATGAGCACGTTGGATGTAATTCGCCATGTTATGTTGTCCCAGGTACATGACTATCAAGATATTTTTTTTCTCTTTCTAATAATATTGATAATATACTTTTCAATGATCTTGCTCGTTTATTCCGATACCGAAAATGGGGATTGTTCCAGCATACCTTTGATATGGAATCGTATCTACCAACGACATAGCTACTTTTACTGCACTTATTAAACCTGGTCAATGATTTATAAGTAAAACATTAATATACATAAAAAATTGTTACTATTGATTCTATAGCATGTTTTAATATCATAAACAGTGATAGTGATGACCAGGGGTATAAACAATATCACAATCTTAAGAAATACAACCCGAGGTTAATAATCAAACACACTCGCACTTTATGTAATGTTTATAAAGCTATACATATAAATTTTTTATTCATTCTTAAATATTTTATAATTATTGCCGCTTCTGGGATCGAATATGTAAATGAGTACAATATTCAGAGACCAGGAATTCTGAAATCATCGTATTGACAAAAAAAGCAAATAGGGGTTTAATGATGTATGTTTAAATGATTGAATGATACACACTCGTTTAGCAAACTTCGTCTATTTTCTTTGTTCTTTACACCTGCTAAATTCCTTAATTAACGAACGCAGTGAGACGCGCACGGGATTGCATTAGAGACAAAAATAAGTATATCCAATCATCAATTCCAGATCTATTTTTGGTTCAAAGTCTAGTTAAAAGTCGAAATTTTAATTTTATTTTTATCTGTAAGGTCACTTTTTGAATTGTAGAATATTGCATTTTAGTCAATCAGAAAGCTAGAAATTATTTAATCATATAAAACTATTTTATTTCTTACAATTATCAACACGTTTTTTAATTTGTGTTGCAAATATCTTACATAATATCATTATAGATTTGAATGATCAAAGCTATGGCGTGTAAAACGTTGCTTTATTCGATAATCTTGTGATGTATATTCAAAATCTTGTGATGTATGTTCAAAATCTTGTGATGTATATTCAATATCTTGTGATGTATATTCAAAATCTTGTGATGTATGTGCAATATCTTGTGATGTATATTCAAAATCTTGTGATGTATGTTCAAAATCTTGTGATGTATATTCAATATCTTGTGATGTATATTCAAAATCTTGTGATGTATGTGCAATATCTTGTGATGTATATTCAAAATCTTGTGATGTATGTGCAATGTCTTGTGATGTATATTCAAAATCTTGTGATGTATGTTCTATAATCTTGTGATGTATGTGCAAAATCTTGTTATGTATATTCAAAATCTTGTTATGTATGTT